GCTTGTAGGTAGTAGCTTGGTAGTTTATGATTTTAATCTAGTTCAATAAGTTAAGTTTATGTGGCTATAGTAAGAAGCACGGGAAAATTGAATTGGGCTGCTCTCTGGATTTACTGCATTGGGAAAGGAATACCCATGCCAAGAAACAAAAGCAAGGGTACTTTACATTTATGTTTCTTGCTATAATTGTTTGCTTTTGCCTTTTTTTGCAGTCTGTTGAACTTGATCGGCTTGCATTCTATCTTGATTCTGACATGTCTCCGTGGCATATTGACAAACCATGGGAGGTTCTAACTCCTTTTGAGTGGGATCAGGTATTGACAAGGAAAATCATGTATATTTAGTGGAACCAGAATTTTCCATTGTCTCTTACCCAACATCTAATTTTCGGTGCATGCAAATATCTAGATTTTAGATTTGGCACAAAGGATGGTAAGCCAGCTGACTGCCTCACGAGGAAGCATTTCTATATTCTGCAACCTGTCTCAGGGAATGCGAAGTACTCTAAGTCTCAACCAAATGAATCTTCAAATACTGCTCAACCTTTGCAGAAGGCATATGTAAACTTAGACGATGTGACACTTTGTTTATCAAAGGTAAAACAAACATTTAAGGTTTCTACTCTTTTTCTATTTGGCTGTCCCGGTGGTCTTGATTATGTGTCTTTTTTTTTGTACTCAGGGAGGATACAGGGATGTCATGAAACTTGCTGATAATTTTGCTGCATTTAATCAGCGTTTGAAATATGCACATTACCGTCCATCTGTTCCAGTTAAAATCGACGCAAAATCGTGGTGGCAATATGCTTACAGAGTTGTTTCAGAACAAATTAAGATAGCAAGGTATCTAAATGTAAACCTTTATCTATGTTTTTTATTGATGCCGGCTTTTTGCGTAATTTGCATCGGTTGTGGAAACATCTTCTTTGCAGTTCCTTACATTAGGTTTTGTTTACATTTTCTGACATTGTTACCTTTATGACAGCGGGAGAATGTCATGGGAGCACGTTTTAAAGTACACTAGTCTACGCAAGAGATACATCACACAGTATGCTTCGTTACTGAAATCTGATATCAGTAGGATAGTTGTTGATGATGATGAAGAAATCGAGGCCCTTGATCGGGAACTTGATACCGATGTTATTTTGCAATGGAGGTAAGCTGTAAAGCTTAAATAATAGTAATTTTTAGTTGCATCCTAGAATATCAGTTAGTTTTTTCAAAGGTTTGGTCTTGTGTCGTTCTATGAAATTTCATGAGGACTGTTCTTTTTTTTCCTTTCTCTGTTTGCTTCCATGACATTTCTCTGTTTTACTTCCATATGTCATCATAGTACATGAGTTCTGCTCCATATAATGTAAAATAAGAATAAATATTTTAATCATTTTCAATTTTGACTAAGTTCCTTGAGTTTCTTTAAAGGATGTTGGCGCACAAGTTTGTTGAGAGGTCGGTACAGGCAGAAAATTACTCGAAGAAGCAACAGGCTAAAAGTTCATGGTGGCCATTCGGAGGGTGAATGCTCCTCTGGTTCTTTCCAGTTCACAACTCTTTTTCCCAAAATTTCTTCTCAATTATCGTGTATGTATGCCTTCAGGAAGAGTGAAGTGTCCGAAGGTGAAGGAGAATCTATTCAATTCACAGATGAAGATTGGGAACGGTTAAATAAAGTCATAGGGTACAAAGAAGGTGATGAGCAATCAATTATCAACAATGCAAAACCTGATGCTCTCCACACTTTCTTGGAGGTACAGATGAAGCGTAGTGCTTCAAAACTTTATGATGGGGAGAAAGAATGTCTTGCGGAGTTATCATGTGAAGGTCTTAATTGCTCCGTTAAGCTTTTCCCAGAGACGAAGATAGCTGACATTAAATTAGGGAGATATCGCTTGTCATCGCCAAGTGGTCTGCTTGCTGAGGTTTGTTACGTGGATTTCATTTTGTTTTGCTGGCTGTGTAAAACATTATCAGTGGTATCTTAAAATCTTACAAATGTCTCTCTTCCTGCAGAGTGCACCTGCCTCTCACTCTGTACTTGCTGTCTTCTGTTATAAGCCCTTTGATGCTAAAGTTGACTGGAGTCTTGTTGCAAAAGCTTCTCCATGTTACATGACTGTACGTGACCTCTCTCTGAGGCAAATTTGTATAGGTAGTTCTGTATTTATATATATGTGGCTGATTGTGTTGCCATCTGCAGTATCTAAAGGATTCCATTGATGGAATTGTCAACTTCTTCGAAAGCAGTACTGCTGTGAGCCAGACAATAGCTTTGGAGACTGCCGCTGCTGTACAGGTGTGTCCTTTATGTGCTATGGTGTACAAAGTTGGCTAACACAAGTTCATATTAGCGTTATATAGCCTGTTAACTATTGGTAATCATCGTGATGAATTTAGGATCTTAGCAAGCAAATTCTGTTTGTTGTCAATATTGTACTAGAACACTGAGTAATTCTGTTGGAACTACAGAATTTTTCATGCGACTTTTTTTATACTGGAATCAAAGCTTACACTGTTGAAATGATACTTCATATCTGTGATGGAAATGGCAAAACTATTTATAGAGCCTGCTCCTTGCACGTGAGCTACAATGGTGCCTGGCAGCTTATTAAAAAACTGTTGGAATTATATCTCTGAACCTTCCTTATATTCAACTGCCCAAGGAGAACCACTTTAATCATTATAAGCCACATACTTATTTTCTCAGTCAACTATTGATGAAGTTAGACGCACTGCTCAAGAAGGAATGAATAGAGCATTGAAAGATCATTCAAGGTCTGTTTGTACTCCCATATGCTCTTTGGTCAAATTTATGTCATGTTTGTTACAGTAAATGACGTTGTACAAAACAACCAGGTTTCTGCTCGACTTAGATATTGCAGCACCCAAAATCACAATTCCAACAGAATTTCGTCCTGATAACCATCGTTCTACAAAGCTTCTTCTAGACCTGGGTAATTTGGTCATCCGTTCCCAGGTAAAGTATAAAAGTGTCAGTTGTCTTAACAATATAATTCCTATATTCAATGCAGGATCTCAAATTTCTATGTATTTAAATTTTGCAGGACGACTATAAGCACGAACTGACAGAGGAATGGATATGTATCTGCAGTTTGATTTAGTTTTGAGTGATGTGTCCGCTTTACTTGTTGATGGTGATTACTCCTGGAAACAATTATCCTCAAAAAGATCTTCTAGTTCTTGCAGGGAAAGCAGTGTAACTTTCTTGCCAGTTATTGATAAGTGTGGGGTACTCTTAAAACTTCAACAGGTAAACTCCTAAACATCCGGCAATTATATTTTTGGTAAAAGAATTATGTTTCAGACTATATGATTTGTAGCAAACATTGTTACTTGTTCTGCTGCTTAGAATTCGTCGACCAAACCCATCGTACCCATCAACCAGACTTGCTGTGCGGCTCCATAATTAGGCTTTCACTTCTCCCCGGCTCGATACCAATAGTTGATGCAAGTTGTGCAGATCTTTCAAACTAAGGATGATGAGAGCTCTCAAATTCTACGTCCTGGGAAGAAGCTGATTTTGAGGGGTGGTTGTCTATTCTTAGCTGGAAGGTCCGTTCCTTTTTGCATACCAGAATCGATTTCCTGGTTGCAAACTCTTTGTCTACTTGGACACTAGTTATTTATTCCAGTGTCAATTCCATGAATAGGGAAGAGAAGCTACGTGGCAGCGGCCGTGGGTACTTATGCTTAGTTTGGTCCATTTATCTACGTGCTCGAAAAGTCCTGGCTCAAAATCTTATAAGAAGTATACCAGGTCTGATTTCCAACTCTTGCAATTTGGCTATTGGTAGTAGGCTCTAAAGATTCGGTGATTGGATAAAAATGAATGGCCTGTACAAACTCGATAAAGACCAGCTCATTTATATGCAAATGTTTGCGTCTGTTTACAATTATCTTACATCTTGAAATATAAATACGAAAATCAACATGTGGAAGAGTATGGCCAAGATTTCCTTTTTGTGCTCAATGTTTGATGTTATCGGAGGCATTTGAAATTAAAACCAATGTTATGCTCCTTAGTTGTCTTTATTGAACGGGCTTATCTAGCTCTCCATGTCTAACTGAAATCCACTAAAAGTGTTATTGAGCTACGTTCATAAACTTTAGTGTAAGAACTCATTACCCAAAAATTGTATGCTATTCCACTAAGCACTAAAGTGTCTATTTGTTTGATATATTTGCCGTAATACCATCTGTTCGTTTTTTTGTTTGTCACTATCCTTCTTTTCTAATGATTTTTTCTTAATCTCTTGTAGCTACGCGGGAAGCATCTATACAAAGTTCCCGTAGAGCTTGCGGGAGGAGTAGAGCATGTCTTGTCCATTCGTAATGCTTCTCGGATCAGTGATAAGGTTTACATCTCATTTAGTTGTATTAAATGCGGGGAAATTTTGGTCCTGCTTTTTATGTTTTCATTGTGTGTTTTCGTCAATGAAGGGTCTAAGATCTCATTCTGATGATTGTAATTTTCAATGAAAATTTAGCTCTGCAGCTTTTAATTTATATCATGTCTCTAGGTTATGGAGGATGTAAATGCACTCATATTGATGTTTGACTCTGAAGACTCCAAAAAACATGGCATAGCCGTTTGCAGGGCGCTGTCTATCGGGCCTCGGTAAATTTAATTTTGGTTAACAGAAGATATTGAACTTTATGTCCATTTATCAATAGGGTGTCTACTGTGAGACAGTTCCATTGACGGTTTGCTATTTAGTTGATTAAAGTTATAAAGTTTACTTAAAATATACAGGGTTCTGCTCCCATAGCCGGTCTTTCTGATACTTCATCTGACAGTGAGGATCAGAAACAGAACAGAAAGATGTTTTTGATTTGTCTAACTTGGAGAGTGTATATGTAACCGGTGTGCTTGATGAACTCAAAATATGTTTCAGTTATGGTCATCAGGTAAATTCAAACTAGAAATTCCATTTCTAGTTGTTAGCTGGGGCATTCTTTGACTGAGTATATGTTTATATAGGATGATGCTTCTTTCATGGCGGTGCTTCTTGCCAGAGAGAGTAAATTGTTCGAGTTTAGGGCCTTAGGTGGGAAGGTAAGATGGTATGCTTCTTAATTATCTTTTTGTTATTTCTTATTCCTTTTGCTGAGAGTATGTTTGTCTTTGTCGAACCAGGTTGAAGTTTCGATGAGAGGGAGTGATATGTTTATTGGGACTGTACTAAAATCTTTGGAAATAGAAGATTTGGTGAGCCATTCTGGTTTAAACGAATCTTGTTATTTGGCAAGATCTTTTATTCAGTCTTCAGAAATGCTTCCATCCTTTGAAGATGCTGAGAGCAGGAGCCCTGAACGCATTGATCCTACTTCTAGTGAAGGGGAGGAAAAGTTTTATGAAGCACCAGAAATCTTGGTTGATTCCATTGACTATACATCTCTCAGGACCCCTAGTTTTAGTCGCATTGATGGATTGCTTCCTGTTGACAACAAGAATATCACTAAGCCAAGCAATGAGACAACTGAGTCACTGGATAGTTTCGTGAAGGCTCAAATAGTCATATACCATCAGACGTCACCTCAATATAAAAACATTGATAACCAGGTTGATAGTTTTCTACTTTTGCATCTTCGAATCCGGAGATCTTAGTTTTTCATTGTTATAAAGTGAAGCTGCCTTACTAAATCACTCATCTTTTGGCTGCGTTTGTAGGTTATGGTAACTTTAGCTACATTATCATTTTTCTGTCGAAGGCCAACAATTCTTGCTATTTTGGAGTTTGTAAATGCTATCAATGTTGAGGATCCAAGCTGTGAATCTTTTGAGGACAACTCTCCTGTAGCTGGAGAGCATACTTCCCCAAGAAGAGATGGATTTGAAGATTCTAGGGATGCAGCTGTCAAGGGTTTGTTAGGGAAGGGGAAATCAGAATCATTTTCAACTTGGCATTGAACATGGCTCGGGCGCAGATATTCCTAATGAATGAGAATGGAACTAAGTTTGCTACATTGTCACAAGACAATCTGCTGACAGATATTAAGGTGTGATTATGCTCTTTTGAATGCATTCCAAACTTTATTTCATCTCTTTTTTCTTCAGTATAGTGAATTTTCGTAAGGTAAGTGGGCATTTTCTGTGCTGATTCCCATTTGTTTGAAGGTCTTTCCGAACTCGTTCAGTATTACGGCAAGTCTTGGAAATTTACGAATCAGTGATGACAGCCTCCCAGACGACCATATGTACTTTTGGATCTGTGATATGCGAGACCCTGGAGGAACTTCTTTTGTTGAGGTATTGGTTGCTTGTTTCTTTTCACTTTTCTCTTCGTGGAATGAGAAGGGATTGGGTAGATGAGATTTATTTTTTTCCATCTTGATTTACCTTTTTTTTTGTCTTGCTAGTTGGCTTTCACATCATTCAGTATCATTGATGAAGATCATGAAGGTTTCGACTACTGCCTTTCTGGGCAGCTTTCTGAAGTGCGCATTGTTTATCTAAATCGCTTTATTCAAGAGGTAGTTCATTCTCTCTGCATAGATACGAGCAACTTTTTGTCTTGCTTCCTACAATCAGTTTCCACCATGTAGGTTGCTGAATACTTTATGGGACTGGTGCCAAGTGATTCAAAAGGGGTTGTCAAGATGAAGGATCAAATTACGGACTCAGAGAAGTGGTTTACGACTAGCGAAATTGAAGGATCTCCTGCTCTTAAGTTGGATCTATCTCTTAAGAAGCCCATAATTGTTATGCCTCGGCACACTGATAGCCCTGAGTAAGTTCATGCTTGGATTTTGAATTTTCCTTCCCCACTATTTTATCTCCATTACACATTTTTGTTTTAAAAATTACTGGTCCTGTGAATTCTCTAGGCTTATCCGAGTGGTTGATTTTTCTTTCTCCACTTTTTGGATATTTTCTTTTTTTGCAGTTACCTGAAGCTAGATATTGTGCATATAACTGTGGACAATACCTTTCAGTGGTTTGCTGGAGACAAAAATGAGCTGAATGCAGTTCACGTGGAAACTATGAAAATAATGGTGAGGACTCTCGTTGTTTCGCTGTTAGGAGGAGCATGATTTATTCTGGTTGATATCGCTTTAATCTTTACAACTTTTTTGTGCAGTTTTTTTTTCTGATGACCCTCTCCTAATATTTTTGTTCTTTGACCCAAAAAACATCAACTTAGGTCATGGATATCAACCTTAATGTTGGTTCTGGAGCTGAAATAGGTGAAAGCATAATTCAAGATGTGAAGGGGGTTTCTGTAACCATTAACCGATCTCTGCGAGACTTGTTACATCAGATACCGAGCATTGAAGTTTCTATTGGGGTAAAGGATAATGTTTTATATCCAGTCTGTAGCGTAATGCTTACTTACTCATGCTTTTTCGAAATTTCTGATTTATCAGATAGACGAACTAAGAGCAGCCCTCTCAAATAGGGAATACCAGATCTTGACAGAGTGTGCACAGTCTAATATTTCTGAGCTTCCACATACTGTGCCACCATTGAGTGGTGACGTTGTGACATCTTCAAGAAACTTACATGAAACTCTTACTTCTGAGGATACTAATGCTGCTCAAACAGAGAAAACTGATGCTTGGATTTCAATGAAGGTTTCTGTTGTCATCAATCTGGTGGAGTTGTGTTTGTATGCTGGGACAGCAAGAGATGCACCGTTGGCTGCTGTACAGGTCCGCTTCCATGTACCATGTTCATTTCATTTGTCATATTTATCTAGGAGTATTTAGTATTATTTTGTCCTTTGGAGCTGCCATAGCTGATACATTTAAGAGGGATAGAAGTAAACACCAACTAGCGAGGAGTTGGGGGCATATGTATTTGTTAAGTTCTTTCTTGAAGAGAGCCGAGGGTAGAGGATCACTTTGCATAGATATTTCATGCGGAATTGTCTCACTCTGGAACTGGTTCCCCCAAAAGATTTCAGAATTGTCGATTCCGCTATATTGACATGGAATTATTCCAATCAGTCTTTTGTGAAATTTCTTTCGAGTTCCGGGTATCAGCCATGTGATTGTTCTTATGGGACCCTACATCTTCTCTATTTCTTTGGTTCCATTTTCTCTTCTCATGGTCTATTTTTTCCTAGGGATTTTACGTCAAAGGGATTTTATAGCAGTAACAACCTCATGGCACATAGTTAACATCTGGACAAATTTTTTTCGTGTATGCTTATAGATCTCTGGCGGTTGGCTTCTCTACAAATCCAATACACACGATGAGGGTTTCCTTACTGCAACATTGAAGGGATTCAGTGTTATTGACAACCGTGAAGGAACTGAAAAAGAATTCCGACTGGCTGTAGGAAGACCTGCAGATTTAGATTTTGGAGATTCACATTCTGTGACTGATGAAGATCAGGGTTTAACTCAGTCACATGTAACCACGGGGAGTGGTATTGGACCCTTTCCTTCGATGCTCACTCTTGATGCGCAATTTGGTCAGTTGTCAACTTTTGTTTCCCTTTCTATTCGAAGGCCACAGCTGCTTGTAGCTTTGGATTTTCTACTGGCCGTAGTAGAGTTTTTTGTCCCTACTATAGGCAGTGTGCTATCAAGTGAAGAAGATAAAATCCTTAACATGGTCGACGCAATTGTCATGGATAAGTCTATCTACAAGCAACAAACTGCTGAAGCGTTTCTTTCTCCTCTTGGTCCTTTGATCGCTGAAGATGAGAAATTTGATAACTTTGTTTATGATGGTAATGGTGGAACGTTATATCTGAGAGATAGAAATGGAGGCATCCTTTCTTCACCTAGTACAGAGCCTATTATATATGTAGGAAGTGGGAAAAGGTTGCAATTCAGGAATGTAGTCTTTAAGGTATAGAAGTTCTATATTAAATTTTATTACTCAGTGTTAGATCTGAAATTTATTTCTGTTGTCCTTTTAGTTTGTCTCACTTTTTTCATATTGATACAGAATGGCCAAGTTTTGGATTCATGTATCTCTTGGGAGCATGCAGCAGCTATTCTGTTTCTAGAGAGGATGGGGTTGAGTTGGAAGTATATCATAAAGCCCCACAACAAGACTTTGAGAGGAAGGAAGATCCGGTTTCTCAATCTCCCAGCACCACAACAGAGAGGTCCACGGAAATGATCATTGAGTTCCAGGTTCTTATAGTGGCCAACTTTCTTCTTTGTATGTGCATAACTAGCCAAGAAAAGTTCCACTGTAATGTTTGAAGCTCGTTTCTACTGCTGCAGGCTATTGGCCCAGAACTTACTTTCTACAATACATCCAAAGACGTAGTGAAAACCCCATTACTCTCCAACAAACTTTTGCATGCTCAGTTGGATGCTTTTGGCAGGTCGGTGGTTTCTCTGCGATTTGGAACTGAAATTTAAGCATGATAGTTGCATAAAAATTGATAAGCCTTGCACAGCTGTTGTTCATATTTATATGTCATTCCTTTTGTCTTTTTTTCTGGTACAGGGTTGTCATAAAGAATGATAAAATTGAAATGAGTGCTCATACGTTGGGTCTAACCATGGAAAGTAATGGAGTGAAAATTCTGGAACCTTTCGACACCTCTGTTAAGTATTCAAGTGTTTCTGGGAAGACTAACATACGTCTTTCAGTTTCAAACATATTTATGAACTTTTCATTCAGCATCTTGAGATTGTTCATAGCCGTTGAAGAAGACATTTTATCATTTCTAAGGATGACATCCAGAAAAATGACTGTCGTCTGCTCAGAGTTTGATAAAATTGGGACCATCAGAAGTATGTCGAGTTATTGTTGAAATTTATCAGTTCATATCATTTTTGTTACCTGGTACTTAGTACTTCTACTGCATGCAGATCCCTACACAGATCAGATATATGCATTCTGGAGACCCAATCCACCCCCTGGTTTTGCGAGTCTCGGCGACTATTTGACACCATTGTTAGTCTACTCTTCTAGAATATACTGTTTAACTGGTAACGCAAGAGCCTTTGCAAGTTAATTAATTGGTATATTAAATGGCAGGGACAAGCCACCAACTAAAGGGGTTCTTGTTGTCAACACCAATTTGATGAGAGTTAAGAGGCCTTTATCATTCAAACTGATTTGGTCACCTTTAGCTTCCGGGGGATTAGGTGGTTCTTCGACTGGTGACAAAGATGAAGAGAGAGTTCATGTTCCATTTGGTTCCCTGAAGCACCAAAGGGTTATGTGGCATTAAGCTGTGTGGCATCAAGTGGAAGTACACCGCCTTCACTGGCCTCTGCCTTCTGCATCCTAGCTTCTTCTGTTTCCCCTTGTTCTCTGAGAGATTGTATAGCTATCAGCTCCACAGATATGTACGCTGCTCTGAACCTCTCACTTTTACTTTAACGAGTAGCTCACTTTCTATACACATGGACACAATGCATGCACAAACTGAAGTATATGGGGATGTATGTTCCCTTGTGTAGACATGTGCAAACATGCTTACTGTCTTTTTTTCCTATTTTTAGAAACATTAAGAAGTTTAGCGTAAGTTGTTTTTCCTTGTGTCTATGTGACTTATATGCGGAAGTCTCAAATGAAAACTGGATTTTATAACTCTACCTCTTTTAGGTTTCTATTTGTTTTTCTTTTCTTACCCAATACATAAGCTCTTAGTTGGTAGCAGATGCAAAAATTTGTTTGTTCATTTGGTTTTTCATATTCTGGTAAATATCCATAAATGATTCCATTGTAGTACGTCTGCAGTGTACGTCTATGCTGGTCAGTTCAGTTTGACCTATTTTCCTCCATTGATGGTTGACATTTTTTTATGTTTGCTTTTTTGTTTACAATGCAGTTCTCAATCAAGTTTAGCTTTTTGGCGCGTGGATAATTCTGTTGGCAGTTTCTTACCTGCAGATCCCTCTACTCTCAACTTATTAGGAAGACCATATGAGCTACGTCATATATTATTTGGATCCACTGGAGTCTTGCCAAAAGAATCCAGCTACGTGGATGTTCGTACTACTCCTGATAATAATATTCAGCCCACACGGCCACAGCCACAGCCACTGAATTCTGTTAACTCTGGTCATCGATTTGAAGCTGTTGCCACCTTTGAGTTGATATGGTGGAATAGGGGCTCAGGCTCACAAAAAAAAGTTTCAATATGGCGACCAATCGTTTCTGAAGGGATGGCTTATTTTGGAGATATTGCTGTTAGTGGGTAAGTCATAATCTGATGTACTATGTCGTTTAGTGCATCCCATTGTACTTGCAAATTGGATGTTAATTTCTTCTGGGGTGAATTTGTAGGTATGAACCTCCAAACTCTTGTGTGGTTTTTCATGATACTAGCGATCAAGAGATCCTCAAAGCCGCTGTTGATTTCCAACTTGTTGGACGTGTCAAGAAACACAGGGGAGTAGAAAGTATATCTTTCTGGATGCCTCAAGCTCCACCGGGTTTTGTTTCTTTGGGTTGCGTTGCATGTAAAGGCTCACCGAAACCATATGATTTCACCAAATTAAGATGCGCTCGTAGCGATATGGTAGCTGGTGATCATTTTGCGGAAGAAAGTTTGTGGGATACCTCTGATGTCTGGCAGAGGGTAGAACCATTTAGTATATGGAGCATAGGGAATGAGTTGAAGACCTTTATTGTACGTAGTGGTTTGAAAAAACCACCAAGGAGATTTGCTTTAATGCTAGCAGACCAGGGTTTGCCTGGGGGAACTGATAACATGGTCATTCATGCAGAAATTGAGACTTTTTCTGCTGCACTATTTGATGACTATGGGGGACTGGTAAGAAAACCAAATAAATGTGTGTGGCATATTTATCTGTGTGAAAATAATGGTGTATCTATGTACTTTGCAGATGGTTCCATTGGTTAACATATCTTTGAACAATATAAGTTTTGGATTACTTGGCAAAACCGATTACACAAATTCAACCATCAACTTCTCCTTAGCGGCCAGGTCATATAATGATAAGTATGAAGCATGGGAGCCTCTCATTGAGCCTGCAGACGGATTCTTAAGGTTTTTCTTTCTATTTGCAGTGCCATTTTAAGTCTCAATAGTGTTGAAATGTTTATGTCTAAACACTTTGTGGGAGCGGGTGATTTGCTTTTTTTATTCTGTTTGTTATATAGTCCAACAAATCTGATTTATATTCTATATAATGGCTATGTTCCATCATGATGCAGGTACCAGTTCAACCCTAGATCCTTTGGCGCGGTTTCTCAGTTACGCTTGACATCTACAAAGGACTTGAATGTGAATGTCTCAGTTTCAAATGCCAATACAATTATCCAAGCGTATTCTAGTTGGAACAGCCTTAGCAATATCCATGGATACCATAAAGAGAGAGTGAGAACTTTTCTTTTGGTCCTTCTGTGCCACTCCCTTGGTGAAGCAGAGGCTTATTTAGCTTTACCTTCTCTTTTGAAGAAGTCACGTCGTCTTTCTCTCTTGATTTACACTTGCTTTTTTTACAGGGAGCACTTCCTCTAGTTGACAATGGAAAATCTGTCATTGAAGTGCATCAGAAGAAAAACTATTTCATAATTCCACAAAACAAACTTGGGCAGGATATATATATTAGAGCCACCGAAATCAAAGGATTTAAGGATATTGTAAAGATGCCATCTGGGGACGTGAGACCTGTAAAAGTTCCCGTCTTGACCAATATGTTGGATTCTCACCTCAGAGGAGAATTATGCAGAAATCCTAGAATCATGGTTACAGTTATTGTGATGGATGCACAGGTACCTTTCTGCTTAAAACAAAGGTTACATTCGTTGTGGTGCCTTTATTTGTTATATATTTCTACCTCCCAGGCGCTCATGCATCTTCTTTTCGTCTTCTTTTACTTCTCTATGCTGATAAAGAAATGAAATGAGTTTAATGTGCTTTCAGTTTCTTTTATCCTTTATGGGTTACGCCTCTAGTGACTTTTTTTTTACTGGGTTTATTAGTTATATGATCTACACAGAAATTTTGGAGAAGGTGTTATCTGGAGTAACCTGGTTTTCTTACAGTTGTTTATTTTCATATGTTTATAGCTTCCAAGAACTTGTGGATTGTCTTCGCATCAATACACAGCAGTCATACGCCTGTCTCCCAATCAGACCTCCCCAGTTGAATCAGTGCTTCGTCAACAAAGTGCACGTACTTGTGGAAGTGTTTCAAATATGTTGTCCTCTGAGCTGGAAGTGGTTGACTGGAATGAAATATTTTTTTTCAGAATTGACTCCCTGGTATTCTCTCTCCTCCATGATATCTAACATCCTTTTGTTGACCTACAACTAATTTGTATCCCCTGAATACTGCTGGATTATTTTATTTTTTTCAAATGGCTATGTTCCTCTTCTCTGTGGATTTTCTTGTCCATCGCCATTTTAATTGTATTTCTACTATTAATCTCATAGATTGATTGATCACACAACTTCAAATATCCAAGAAAATCAGAAACAGTTTTAATTGTAGTGCTTATAGCTTGGAAAAATTTTAGTTAGTAAGCTTGGTGCATGTACCTTCGTACAACTTTAGAATAAAATGTATTATGAGTATTTTTTCTGGTTATTAGTTTTTGTCTTCAAGATCAAGGTTGCTGCAATGGCTTTTTGATATTTTATTGTTCTTTCATTTTCCCAGGATGACTTTATCTTGGAATTAATAGTGACAGACGTCGGAAAAGGTTTGTTTCCTTAGTTCTTGTAGCTTAAATATCACGTGCTAATCTATCCGAGTTAAAGGGTTTCTTTCATTTGTGGTATATAAATCGATGTTGTTTTCACGATTTAGGTGCCCCAGTTGGGAATTTTTCAGCTCCTCTAAAACAGATAGCAGAATATATGGACAACTTATACCAGCACAATTATGCTAATGACCTTGTCTGGTTGGACTTGTCTACAACTGAAACCATGGTAAAACTTTTGAACTTAGCATGCTCTTCCTGTCAGGATGTAGCCATTGTTGTGAAGAAAATGATATTAATGATGTGTTATCAATACATGCATGTAAAGGATTTTTCGACTTTCTGGGTTCACAGATTGCGAAAGGTAAAATGAAATGATTTTCTAAAGTTGGTGATGAATTGCCTTCCTGTTTTCCTGCAGAGCATGAACCAAGGGGATCAAAGAAAGAACTGTGGAAAAATAAGGTGCGCTGTACTGTTGCCAGCTATATCGAAAGTGGACCAAAGCAAATCCTTCAGGGAAAAAAAATCTGGATTTCTTCAAGTAAGTCCTAGCATTGAGGGTCCTTGGACGACAGTTAGGCTGAATTATGCTGCTCCTGCTGCTTGCTGGAGGTTGGGAAATGATGTGGTTGCAAGTGAAGTTAGTATGCAGGATGGAAACAGATACGTAAATGTCAGGTCTTTAGTTTCGGTGGAGAACAATACTGACTTCCTACTTGACCTCTGCCTGCAGTCAAAAGTGAATTCAATTCCAGATATTCCAATCGGGTTGCTGAAACCTGGTGATACATTACCGGTTCCCTTATCAGGATTGACACAGTCGGCATCTTATGTTCTGAAACTGAAATGTGTATTTCCTGATGGGTCCGATGAATATTCTTGGAGTTCTGTGGTTTCGAGGCCTGGGGGACCAGAGGTTTCTTGTGAATCAGAGTCTGAAATATGTATATCGGCTCTTACTGAATCCGAGCACTTGTTATTTTGTACTCAGATAAACAGTACTTCTTCCGGAGATAATCAAAAGTTGTGGTTCTGTTTGAAGACCCAAGCAACAGAAATTGCAAAGGATATACGTTCGGACCCTATTCAAGACTGGACCCTTGTGGTCAAATCACCGTTTTCTATAGCAAATTGTCTTCCATTTGGAGCTGAGTACTCAGTGCTAGAGGCGCAAGCCAGTGGTCATTTTATTTGTCGCTGTAGAGGTGTCTTTAGTTCTGGGGAAACTGTCAAGGTGTATAGTGTTGATATAAGGAACCCTTTATACTTTTCTTTGCTACCACAAAGAGGATGGCTACCAATGCATGTAAGTTAGGAAATTAAACCTAGATTCACATCACCTAGGCACCCAAAATTTCCGTTCTGTATCTTCTATTTTCCCTTGGATATTTAGTAGGTTTATTGAATTTGGCAGGAAGCTGTCCTTATATCTCACCCCAATGGTGTCCCTGCGAAGACAATTGGACTAAGAAGTTCTGCCACTGGAAGGTCTTGTTCTTTCTGCTGAGATTTTACAATTGTATAATTTTTCTAGTCTATTTGGTCTCATACAGTTGAATTTATGCAAGCAGGATTGCTCAAGTAATACTGGAGCAAAACTATGATGAACAGCAGATAGTTTTGTCGAAGATGATCAGAGTCTACGCTCCGTTCTGGTTTTCGATTGCGAGGTGTCCCTCGCTTACACTCAGGCTTTTAGATCTGTCAGGGAAGAAGCAAACAAGAAAAGTTGGTCTTCCCTTTCGAAGTAAAAAAAATGACGAAGTAGTCCTAGAGGAGGTAACTGAAGAAGAAATATATGAAGGTCATACAATTGCTTCTACTTTGAATTTCAAACTTCTGGGCCTGTCAGTGTCTATATCTCAGCTTGGCAATCAGCAACATGGTCCTGCCAAAGATCTTTCTGCTCTTGGTGACATGGTCAGTTATATATTATTGAATTTGTTTGATAGACTAGTTTTCTCAAATATTGAGCTTCGCTAACCTTTGACTTTATTTTAATAGGATGGATCTTTGGATGTGGATGCGTATGATCCCGATGGAAATTGCATGCGGCTATTTTTATCTACAAAACCTTGCACTTACCAGTCGGTTCCTACAAAGGTAACAAGCACTTTGTCTTCTACATCTTCTTTGTTATTACGTACTGACTCAAATTTATTTTCAGATCATATCTGTTCGACCATTCATGACTTTCACCAACAGGATCGGTGAAGACATGTATATTAAACTGAACAGTGCAGATGAACCAAAAGTACTCCATGCTTATGATTCGAGGGTCTCCTTTGTTTTCCAACCAAGTGGGAGAGATGAACTCCAGGTGAGCTGTCTAATGTTGCAGAATCTTCACCACTTTCTATTTCCTCATATATTTGCTTTAGCCACTTAGTTGCAAAAGGGAGAGACAAAAAAACAAAACAATGGTTAAAAATGTTGTTTAAGGTATCCACTGGAAGCATGTAGCATACTAGCATGATATATGCTCAGTCAAACCAGTGAGACTTCTAGGAGCAGTAGATTAGAGTTTCAATGCAAGATGTTTAGTATTGTTAGATGGTTTAACATATGCATACTTCCCTTGCCTACCACATATGTTTACATTGTGAGAGGTTAGAGCATCTCTCTTTTTACATTAATGACGTGTTATCTTCTTATTACATTGCCTAATTTCAGGTCCGGTTAAGAGACACAGAGTGGTCATTTCCCGTTCAAGTTACTCGAGAGGACACAATTGTACTTGTATTAAAGAGTCAAAATGGTGCACAGAGATATGTGAAAGCAGAGATACGGGGATTTGAAGAAGGGTCACGTTTTATAGTTGTATTTCGACTAGGACCAAGCAACGGTCCTATGAGGTATCTTCTTTACAAGCGACAGATTTCCATGCTTGTGAAACAATCACTAATTTCCTTATCTTCTTTTTTTTGTGAAAACTTTTCAAACCAGGGTTGAAAATAGATCAACTGTCAAAAGCATCAGTGTTCGGCAATCTGGTTTTGGTGAAGATTCGTGGGTTTTTTTGGAACCTCTTTCAACAGCAAATTTTGCTTGGGAAGATCCTTATGGTCAGAAATTCTTGGATGCTAAGGTTGAAAGTGATCACCGCTCTGGGGTTTTCAAAGTAGACATGGAAAAAGGTGTTGTGGATTCTGAATTGTGTAGGGAGTTAGAAGTGAACTTTGATGTTCAAGAAATTGGTAACATCAAGATTGCTAGATTCACCGATGATGATAGTAATTCACAGAGTCCTAATGAAATCATATCTTTGACATCGGTTGGAAATCATGGATATTCTACTCCTCAGACACCTACAGAACACAAGACCACCACTCTGGAGTTTATAATTGAAATGGGACTAGTGGGGATCTCTCTTGTAGATCACATGCCTAAAGAGTTATCATATTTTTACCTTGAAAGAGTATTTGTATCTTACTCCACTGGGTATGATGAGGGAAGAACTAGCAGGTAACTCAAATATTGCAGTATTTTTTTCTTTTCATGTCTGTTTCATGTATAACTGGAATGATGGAACCAAATAATCAATATACTTTTTAATGATTTCCAGGTTCAAAATCATTCTGGGTCATTTACAGATTGATAACCAGCTACCTCTAACTTTAATGCCAGTACTATTGGCACCAGATAACACTGGAGATAGTCGTCAACCAGTGCTTAAGATGACAATTACAATGTGTAACGAAGAAACTGATGGCATTCAAGTGTATCCATATGTGTATGTACGGGTATGTATTCTATTCAGGTTTATCTGCAGGGTACTCAAACATAAATTTGAGATACTATGTGAAGCACATGATGTATTTTCTATTCAATTGACAGGTAACTGATAATACCTGGCGACTAAACATTCACGAGCCTATCATATGGGCTTCAGCTGACTTCTACAATAAGCTTCAGATGGACCGTCTCCCCAAAAGTTCTAGTGTCGCGCAAGTTGATCCTGAGATACATATAAAGTATTCTTATCTTCTATTGAATTTTACCATCTCAGGGACGAAGTCCATATTATTTGGCCGTTTTGGTATGCAAGTCGAGCAATTTCCAAACTTTATTGAGGTATGTTTTTGTTTGTGATTTTCAGCCTCATTGATGTGTCGGAGGTAAGGCTAAAGGTCTCACTAGAAACAGCGCCAGCTCAGAGGCCTCATGGAATTCTTGGTGTTTGGAGCCCCATTTTGTCCGCTGTTGGAAATGCTTTCAAAATTCAGGTGGTTGATTTTTTTTTGAAGTTACTCCCACTTATGAAAATGGAATAGTGATTACATCTTCCTAGTAATAAAACTAATTGTTGGGATACCTGGTTACATTTCATGGGAGTCTACTTTATGTGAGAACTGACTACTGAGAAGTTAGAACTAGTTGTAATTATGAATTGTTGAGCATGAGCTTGTTTAAGCCATACTCTTTCTTGACTCCCAGCACGAGATAAGTAGCTCAGAAGATTTTACCACATTCTAAAGAGAAGCTTTTTTCCTTGGATTGTCATGCAACAGCTTGTAGCTAGAAAGCATTTCAATTGCCTGACACCACAGGCTAATTCATCATTTTGCTATAGTTGGAATTAAATACTGACAAATGGAGAATGAGAAATGTTGCTAATGTTTTAAAATCATATGTACATTTAGGTTCATCTAAGGAGAGTAATGCACAGAGATCGGTTTATACGGAAAAGTTCAATAGTTCCAGCCATCGGGAATCGCATATGGAGAGATCTGATCCACAATCCCTTACATTTGATTTTCTCAGTAGATGTTTTGGGTATGACTAGCTCAACGTTGGCTTCTCTTAGCAAAGGGTTTGCCGAGCTTTCAACTGATGGTCAATTCATGCAACTACGGGCCAAACAGGTACCTTTCTTGCTATATTATTGAATTGATCACTTTGGCAGTTTGCTTAAAAGAGGTCTGAATGTGAATCAGGTTTGGTCGAGGCGGATCACCGGTGTAGGTGATGCAATTGTTCAAGGAACAGAAGCCCTAGCACAAGGTGTTGCCTTTGGGGTATCAGGAGTTGTTACGAAGCCTGTAGAGAGCGCCCGACAAAATGGTATTCTAGGGTTTGCCCATGGGGTAGGACGTGCGTTCCTAGGATTTATCGTACAACCAGTGAGTGGTGCATTAGATTTTTTCTCATTGACTGTTGATGGAATTGGAGCAAGTTGTACCAGATGTTTGGAGGTTTTGAGCAACAGGACCGCCTTGGAGAGAATTAGAAATCCTCGTGCTGTTCATGCTGATGGTATACTCAGGGAATATGATGAGAAGGAAGCTATAGGCCAGGTACTGGCTCAGTTTATTTTTCTTGTCTACTAGTGAGACTGGAAATTGAGAAATTTTGGATGCTTAAATCCACGAAAAAATCAAAACTTCATAATTACAAGTCGGCTATCCTATTTTTTAATATTTCAATCTGATAGTTTTACATTCTAAGTCTCCTTATACGATATGGTGTAAGTTATACTGAAATATTACCAGAAAGTTACGAAGTTACATTCTTCTAGTTAAGCTTGCCACTCATGCTCAAAACTCCAAACTGGTTCTGATTTCTGTTGGTTATCTCGTCTTGCAGATGCTCCTTCACCTAGCAGAAGCAAGTCGACACTTTGGCTGTACAGAAATATTCAGGGAACCCTCAAAATTCGCTTTGACTGATTGCTATGAAGAGCATTTCCTTGTTCCATACAAACGCATTGTCATGGTGACCAACAAGAGAGTTGTGTTATTACAGGTTAAACCAACTAGAATACGATTTTACTTGCAGGTTTTCCATTAGTCTCTCAATATTGTTTTTATTAACCGAATGTTTGCTTCCATTTAGTGCTCTGATCTGGATAAGATGGATAAGAAACCCAGCAAAATCATGTGGGATGTGCCTTGGGAGGAACTTATGGCGTTGGAATTGGCAAAGGCAGGTAGCCAAAGGCCCTCGCATCTCATACTGCATCTGAAGAGTTTTCGGAAGTCAGAGAGTTTTGCTCAGGTTATAAAGTGCAGCGTGCCAGAAGAATTAGATGGACTAGAACCTCAAGCTGTCCGAATCTGTTCAGTAGTGCGCAAAATGTGGAAAGCATATCAGTCTAACATGAAAAATCTTGTTCTCAAGGTTATTGCTATCACTATTCTCATTATAGTTATAGAATTTATATTTTGATTAATAATTTGGCTATGATTCAAGAGAAATTTTCCATTTGAAATGACTACTCCCAAGATGCTTTGGTCTACTATTTTATAGTAAAAATATGATGATAAAACATGTTTTAAGTTTTCTGGTTTATATTCCACATAACTTACTAACCAGTGTAAATTATGGAAGTATAGAAGCTCATACCAGTGCAACACACCTAATGAATTTTCTTTCTTCTCATTGCAGGTCCCTTCAAGCCAGAGACATGTGTATTTTGCTTGGAATGAGGCTGATGGAAGAGACTCAAAAACATACAAAAACAAAGCTATTATTAAATCGAGAGAACTTTCTTCTTCAAGCTCTGTCTCAGATGATAGAAAGCTTGTCAAACATAGTATCAACTTCTCAAAAATCTGGAGTAGTGAGAGAGAATCCAAAGGTCGATGTTCTTTGTGTAAAAAGCAGGTAAGTTCCTTTCCATCGCACTCTATATCTTTGAGCTTAGAAAGCGGTTGCCCTGCGTGTAAACCCACCAGTTGGTACAGAAAATTTCTGATTTTCTTGCCTTCTAGATTTTATTTCTTTTGATGACACTCGAAAATTTTGGGTTCTAGCCTAAGCTAAGATGTGGAGACCAGGATCAAGACTTCAAACCCTTGTCATCAATATATGTCAATAAGAATCCGTGACATATAACTTTATGAGACGAGACATGTATAATCACCCACCACATCAACCGTTTTGAGGTTTTCTTAACAATTATTTCCTTTTTTGCTTTCAGGATTCTGAAGATGGAGGAGTGTGCACTATCTGGAGACCCAGTTGTCCAGAGGGGTAAGTAAAGCCAAAAGAGATTTAAAATTCCAAAAAACTATTTTATTGTTTCTTAACTTGGTTATTTAGTACCCAAATGGTGATGCTGTAGCTGCATTGAGCCTTTGAAACTTAAGCAGTTTTCGTCATTGTTTTTTTGCCAGATTCGTGTCAGTGGGTGATGTAGCTCACGTTGGTAGCCATCCCCCAAATGTTGCTGCTGTCTACAATAACACCAATGGAGTGTTTGCACTTCCTGTGGGTTATGACCTTGTAAGTATCTCTCTAACATTTAATTTCAACCTTAATCCGTTGCACTTAACCGCAAAATATTTTCAACCCTGAACTCGTCGTATAAAGTGCACAGCATCCAAATTGTGAGCAAACGCAAACCGTGTCAAACCTGAGTTTGTGTGTTTTAGCATGATACATATTTGTTTATTCACTTGTCAGGTGTGGAGGAATTGCTTAGATGATTACATAAGTCCTGTATCGATCTGGCATCCACGGGCTCCTGAGGGATTCGTTTCTCCTGGATGTGTTGCAGTGGCTGGTTTCATTGAGCCAGAGCTCAACACAGTCTATTGCATGCCAACGTCTCTGGCTGAGCAGACTGAGTTTGAGGAACAGAAGGTTTGGTCTGCACCTGACTCGTACCCATGGGCTTGTCACATTTACCAAGTTCGAAGTGATGCACTTCATTTCATGGCTCTGCGACAGACCAAAGAGGACTCCGATTGGAAAGCAATTAGAGTTCGAGATGATTACAGGTCCATAGAATCTGAATCGGGAAAGAATTTGCGTTTAGAATGAAACTTTTCAGTGTTCACTTCTTTTTTTTTGGTTTTTGGGAAACTAGTACTTCATGTAAAGAAGTAGACTTGCAAACAAAGAGAGCTTTTTTTGTTGGTTTTTTGTTTGGCGTGAAAAGAGAGCCTCTATGTTGATATTTTTGTACATTTGTGGATACAATTACTTGTGCATTCTAGGAAGCATGTATCTGTACAAGTTCTTATATAACAGAAATGTGTCTTAGTTTTAATGATAATAAGATTGTTAGAAGATTTTAATTTATAATTAAGAAAACAGAAGACTGTTTCTTTTTTTTTTTTGCGCAAGAGTGTTAATATTATATAAGCCAAAACATAACCAGTACAAGAGTTTAAGAGTGGTCATAGCCACAGTAAACAAGCCTATTAACTATTACAACACAAGATTATCAAGGAGTAAGTTTGATAACCATCAAGTTATTCTAAAACAGAACCAAAAGATGACAGATTGGTTCATGAAGAGCCTTCTCTGTTTTAGAATCCTTATTCCATGAACTTAACTTAACTTAACTAACTTGACTAAACCTGTAATAGCAGATTACAGGAACCCAAAAGTTGTGACAGAATTTTGTAGAGTGAATTATCTTTTTTTAGGAGGCCTCAGAAAGCCTCCTCCTTCTTCATCTTGTAACTTCTGCTTTTGATTCCTATCGGCTCCACGGTTATTGAAGTGTGAATTTGGACGTCTAGATGATTCACCAACCTCAAAATTTCTTGGATTTGGACGTCTAGATGATTCACCAACCTCAAAATTTTTTGGCCTACCTGAAGAGATATCTTCCTCATTATTGATCGAAATATTAGATCCTGTGGAAGATTGTCTCCTCCACGAAGCAGCTTGAGGTATAGGACAAGCAATGCGTTGAAGTTCTTCTAGACTTAATCCTGGGAAGTAAGGAGAGGCAGCTGCAAGTTCATCAGAGTTCAAAGGTGGAGCTGCGACTCGTGGTGGAGGAGACAGTGGAGCAGGAAAAGAGTTCTCAGAATTTTGGGATTGAGAGTTAATATCAGATCTTCTCTCTTCATCATAAACCCTTCTCTTATTGAAAACTGGAACATCGAGAACTTCAGGGCTATTTCTTGGAGTAGGAGGCATTTGATTGTAAGGGCAGTGACTTCTTTGATGAGTAAGTCGAAAACAGTGACTACAGAGCCTTCGCAGGCGCTCGTACTGAAAACTAAGCATAGCCCTTTCTCTAGACTCAAAGCAGGCCCTCCTAAAGAACCTTAAGCAATCAGTGATGCCAAAACGGATACGTACTCTTGTAAACCTGATTTGGTTAGTAGTTGCATCATTAAAGTCCACGTAGATGACCTCTCCTAAGGTTCTTGCTATGAATCTGATTGTTCCTTCTGAGACGTATGGAAGAGGGATTCCACGGATTTGCACCCAAATATCAATTGTAGTAAGGAAGTCTATGTCAGGGAAATCTTCCCACCTTTGGGAGGCTACAAACCAGTTGTTAAAGACCCATGGAGCTCGACGTTGAACTGATACTAAGTCAAACTCTGATTGAAACAAGAACTGGATATAAGTATCATTCAAGACTCTCCCATGAACTCTTGATGCTAAACCCCACGTTCTAGGCAAGGAGACAATAGCAGATTGTAGACTTTGAGCTCTGTTGTTAAGAGGCCGTGCAATTAGGCTTAGACGATTCCTATCTATTGCCTCAACATAGGTATATTGAGGTATAAACAATAGAAGACTGTTTCTAATTTCCTTTTATTTTTTTTTATTATTTTTTTTTTTGATAACTCAGGTCTAAAGGTTTTTTAGGCCCAAAGACTAATCCTGGGGCCCGGGGAAACCATGTTAGAATTCGAACCCCGGTGGCCAATGCTACTCGAACCCAGGTGGCGGAGACTTTTCTCTCCTTTACCACTGGACCAAGGCGACTTGGTTCTAATTTCCTTTTATTACTATGGTATATTTTAATATTTAGCTCACATTTTTTTATGTATGTTAAAAAGCTTGAGCCTGAGCCAAGACTAGTTGGTAGAATTCGGAGCTCTCTGCTAATTGAGTAATTTACTCGATTATGGAACATAAATATCACTATCGTGTGATGCTGCTCTACACAACACAATTGCGTCTAATATTATAAGATTGTTAGGATGATTTTTAATTATTAGACGTTGATTGTTGGTAAAGTTTTAAAACCTTTAGTTGTGGCGGGAACGTGCAAAGCTTAATACACGACCAACGCACTACTAGAGCTTCACGCGCTACTTTAGCGCGTCAATTCCATCGCTCAAATCTACCTCCTAAGACTTGAGAGTAACGGCCCGCGTGGACGGAAGGATCAGGATTTACAGAGACGAGTCTGAGCTGCATTATTCCATGAGTCAACTCTCTTTGCATCTAAAATGAGTGAACAATTTTCAAAATTTTCCAGTAGAAAATGAGAATATACTTCTCATCACATATAAATTCTTGAGAATATAATTTTTGAAAATACTCAAATGATGATTGATCCAAACATGCTTAATTTATTGATTAAAAAGGTTCATCATAATTTTGAACGTGATGTTATGCATCCAAAAAAAAATTTTAGTTAAAAATTTTTAGATTATATTTGGTCTATGTATAAAAATATGGTTTGATCACTATGTATATATATTTCTACATTACCCTCCACTAATATAACTGTAAAAAAAAATCAATTTTCTGGTGCTATTTGTAACATTAGCCATAACCTTTTTTTTACTAAATTTTACGAATCAACAATTTGTCGGCAGGAGCGAACGACCGACCGTTATGAGCACTAGTAGTGGATCTGTAAATAATAAATGTCGTGTTGATTGGTTCTCCCGCTAGCACCCGCCTAGCGGTTGTTAGCGGTCGGTTGCAGTTGTTAGCGGTTGGTACCAATCACAGAAACCGCTCTACACCGCTTCGAACCGCTCGAAATCGCTGGATTTCAAAAGCTCCTTCCCGCAAGCGTTTGCGGTTGCGGGCGGTTGCGGTTGGTTTAAAAAAGGAAAAAAACTACAAAAGGAAAATAAATAAATTAAAATATATATTATCATGTCTTATTTATATTCACGTTAATTCTAAAAAAAAAATAATTATCTAACTTTAATTTTCTAATATTAATATTTATTTTTGTTTTTAATATAAAAATTTATTTGAATAATTATTTATGGTTTCTAATCATTAATTAATCATGTTTAAAAAATTTATACTTTCATAATTATAATTTTTGGTGTTTTATAATTTTCTGTAATCATATATTAAATTTATTTTGGTAAACTTTGCTTTAACCGCTATCGTACCCGCTGATCAACCAGTCGTAAATCTTCCGCAAACGCACCCGTTTTCAACCGCTAAACCAGTCGGTCAAAACGCTAAATAACGCTTGAAACCGCAACCGCCCACTTCCGCAAACTCCCACAACCGCAACTGCAACCGCTGCGTTTAAACCAGTCAAGCCCTAATAAAGAAATTAGTCACGCGCGTTGTGAAAACATAAAAAGGAAGTAAATCGTCGACGTCGTTATTCAACTACCATTTCTGGATCACAACTCTCACACAAACCACACTCTTTTAATCAAAAAAAAAACATCTTCTTCTTGTGAGAGACAATGGACGGATTGATCAGAGGTTTGGTCGACGTGGCTATTGGAGGAAACCAACGCCGCGGCGGAGACGATGGTGGTGATGATGAAGGGAACTCGAGGGACGAGAGATCCAGATCTACTTGGGCTGATGTTCGTACATCGAATCCTATTCTGTGTTATCAGTTATTTTTTGTTGAGATTTTGAAATTGTGTTGAACGATTCTTCTTCTTGATCTGGACATGATCGCAGGTGGTTTCCGGTGAGGAGGAGGATCAGAATCGCGCGGGAGGATCGTCGCACGGTCGACGCCAGAATTTAGAGGTAAGAATTCAAAATTCAAATCGTTTGGGAATTCGAACCGATTTCTGGAAATCAAAACTCTCAATTCTGAACTCTGATTAGCAAGTTGTGGTTAAGTAGTGTTATAAACTTGGGAATCTCTGGATTTCGCAGAAACACACGATTCGTAGAAGAAGCTTATATAGTCAATCGAATTTAAGCTACGTCATTGGCAATTGTAATGTAGAAGCATCTTTATTAATTCTGCTTTAATTGCGTTACTGTTGGATAGTCTTCTTCGATGAAAATAGCTCTCAATTGTTTCAAGATCACGAATATGCATCTAATGTCATCGTTTTCGTCTCTCGGCATAGGAGAATCAATGGGAGAAGAAGGGAGAAAGGAACCCTACAAGACATTCAAATAAGGTTTGTGATCATCAAGACATTTCAACATTTATATAACGCATTTTAGTTTCAGTGAAATTGCTACTTGATGAAACAGTCTTGTGTACCAACAAGAAACTCTGTGAATCATATTTATGAATCTCTTAAACTTGGGTCTTTCATTTTTATTTCATTCAAAATAAATCATGCTCTCTAGTCTTTAACGGCAAAACAAGCCTTAAATATTTGGCATTTTGATTTTCCCACACAGGAGGACCAGGAAGAGAATACATATGCGGCTAAAGTAGCCGAGAAACAAGACTTCTCAGTGAGATATAACTTCATTTACTCTTTACATTAGATCCTCTTAAAAAACCTAATGTCAGTTTAGCATGTTTGCTAAGTATCTAATGTTGGCATTTGATTCCATGTACAGGAGAGCCAGCAAGAGGACAATGATGGTTGGGAAACTGTGGGAAAAAAGAAACCTGCAAGGCAATCGCATAAGGTTTGAAAATTTGAAACCGAGATGGAGCCCTAACTGCTGATTTTACCCGTCCTTTCACTGATTTGATATGTGTGGTCTCTCTCTTTATCCGCAGGTCCAGAAGGAGCAATGGCAAGATTACAAACGTCCAGCAAGCGAACAACACTACTCAGACGAAGTTGAAACTTATGGAAACCTAGAACCCTCACAACTAGAGCTCTCAGGTCTCTCAGAAGCTTGCAACAAACTGTGGGAGCTCGATTCAAACCGCCTTGTTCCTGGAAATGATTATCAAATCGACTGCGGAGATGGGAAAAGGGTCCATGAGAGAGCTGATATGGCTGAAGGACTACTCTTCTCTTGGGTGAGCGACGAAGTCTTTAGAAAACCGACTTTTGCCAGATTCTGTTCATTGCTTGATAACTACAACCCGAACGAAGGTTACAAAGAAGAAGTCACAGAAGAAGAGAGGCAAGAGCAAGCAGCTTTTATTGAAGAAATTAGCAGAACCCCTGTGATCAAGTACCTCCACAAATACCTTGTGCTTAAGGACGTTGCTCCTGGAAGCTACCAAGAGTTCAAGAGAATGTTGACAAGTCTCTGGTTCGATCTCTATGGCCGCGGAGGTACCTCTGGCTCATCTTCTGCGTTCGAGCATGTCTTTGTTGGTGAGATCAAACAATCTGGTGGGGAACAAGTCTCTGGATTCCATAACTGGCTTCAGGTAAAACACTTTTTGTCCTCCCCACCATGAATCCAAATCTCTGGAAAGCCCGGATCAGAACAGTAAAACTTACAAATGATTATATTGGGCTCTCTTTTATCGTAGTTTTACTTGGAGGAAGCCAAAGGAACTGTAGATTATCAAGGCTATATATTTCCCCGACGTCGCGGTGAAATTGTAAGTACAATAGCTTCGTTCAATGCTAAATATGTCCTTCAAATATAAGTACTTCAAAACAAGTGACTAACCGTGAGAAATCACACTTTTGATTCATATGCAGCCTGATTCAGAGACTCAGCTGCTAACGATCCAATTCGAGTGGAACGGTGTTCTAAAATCAGTCTCAAGTACTCTAGTAGGAGTAAGTCCAGAGTTCGAGTTGGCTCTATACACAATGTGTTTCTTCATGGGCAGAGAAGAAAACCACATACAGTTGGGTCCATACAATGTCAATGTCAAATGTTACCGACTTGGCAACAACCGTATCGGCTCAGCTTTCCCCATTGCAGAATCTTGAAACCTCTCTTGATGGCTCAAAAAATATCTGCTCCTTGCGCAGTACTGTATTGAATTATTGATATTGTCAGATCTTTCTGTCTACATGTGTAGACTAGAAATATCCTCCTGTGATATTTCCTTGGATATTAATGGGAAACCATGTCTTGTCCTTTCTGAAAATGATACAACAATAGAAGAGATGTGTGAGAAAATATCTTCTAATAATTTTTATTTCAAAGAGGTATTTATTTTGTTTTGGTTACAGAAAATCATTGGCTTATATCTACACTTGGATGTTCACTTATCACATCACAAAGCAGAAAAATATCTTAACGACAATGACAAACCAAAGCTTAACTGTTATTCACTCAAGGTTCTTCATTCTTAAGTCAAGACGATGATACTCTTTAACCACTGAGCTAACCACAAAACCAAATCACTTTGCCATATACGGTTTACCTTTCTAACATAGCAATGGTGCAAATAATGCGATTTAATCTTTTTGCATTAACAACACAGAAATATTTCTACACACGACGCTAAACAGATTATGAAGATTAGCTTGGCCTTTCCCCAATTAAAAAATATGAAACATTCACTCACCACCAAGTTTTACCATTATTTCACTCCTCAGAGGCCACAAGACATCACGAGATCATATGATTTCTAACCCAAATCCTAGATTTCTAACTATAATGACAAGAAATAATGTTCAGAAGCCCTAGTTAGATGTTAACCAAAAATGGTACAAGCAACATTCAAATAACAGAGAAAGAAAAAGGAACCAACAAATAAAATAAGTGCCAGAAATTGGGTTCTAGAATATCCAATTTGGTAAAAATGTAGTCGACCAAATAAGTGAGGAGGGTAAAAAAGAGAGAAAGAAAAGAAATGGGAAGGGTAAGCAAGTAGGTTACGTGGAAGGAAGATATCAACGCATAAAAAGAGAAACACTCAATGTTAAGGGACCAACCACAAATCTTGGATTTTTGCTGATGCGTGTGTGAAAATAGGTCCACACGCTTTGTACTTTTTTTCATCATCGGTCTATAATAAAGCTCAAGCCTTTTCATGGACAGAAGAAATCATGAAAAAACATTAACTTGTTCACCTCAAAATTAATCTAGGAAAATGACAATGAGATTTTTACCTCAAAAGCCAATATCAACATCTACCCATTCTTTCACTCGTCACAATCATGATTTTCTTACAATGCTTACCTTAGAGTTTAGAGACATATTGTCACAAAAAAAAGGCTTGTGTCTATTTCCAATTCTTGACCGTAGATGTCACAGCATGCATATATCATTGTTAACAGAGCAAAAGAAGAAACAAAGCATATGTATCTAGATACTTAGCAAGGCATAAGGACTAATGATACAGAATGAGGAAGTTCAAGACTTTATACTCAGTTTCTTACAAAACAAATTTCTTTCTAATTGCAGAAACACCAATTAGGATTTGAAGAGCCTACCTGTTTGTGTCAATGTCCAATGTCGTCCCCGCCTTCTACATTTCTTAGCCTACTGAATAAAAGCACAAGCCAAAATGAGAAGGTGCCAAAGGCGATAAGGATCAATTTCTACCATTCAAAAAACTAATGGTGAGAATTAGAAACGAGAGAAAACTAACTACTTGATGAGCAAATAGCCAAAAGCGCAATCTTCGTCACCTGAATAAAGACCAAACCGTCACTTTCAATGAGTCAGCAAGAAAAAGAGAGAGAGAGAGAGAGAGAGAGAGAGAGATTCTCTATAACATTTGCAGTCGAAATGGATTCTAATGCATCAAAAGTCATCTCCAATAAACAAACACTTGAAACTCACATGGCTAATAGAATAAGATCAAACCCTTAAGTATTAAGCATTACATAAACTACTGGTCAACTTTTGATACATATGCTAAAGTAACATACCATAAATTTCTGTGAAGCACATTGAACACAACACAACTAGGGGCTTAATGCATGAAATGAAAGTCCTATTGTTTCGATATAGCAACATATTGCAGATATAGACAGAATGTAGCATTCAGGCAGTCCAAATGGAAAATTTTGACAAGAAATTTAAATTAGTAACATAACAGATTAAACAGATAAAAAATGGCAGAATAACATAACCAGGCAAGACAAAACAGAATAAACAGATCAATGGGTATGATCTAAAAAACAATCCCAAAGAGAATGTGCCAACAAGAGGGCCATGAGAAGAAATTTCAAAGAAAATATTAGCCTTTGTTAGAAATTTATGGGTCAATGGATCTGTCAGCTGCTTAGTTGGAAAACACAAATCCTACAGGAAAAAAAGTCCAAGAAGAAGAAAAAAAGCAGAGTTAATAGCCACCACAAGAAATTTCATACTGAAATAATTAAATCATTGCACTTATCTTCTTATTCAAATTAAAATCAAGAGACCTTAATAATTTTCAGCCACACGAACCATGTGTTCAAAGCCAAAGGTGAGAGGACAAAATTATCAGCTTATCTACATTAACAAGAGAAAGCAAGACTAGATTTAAGGATTCTCTCTGTAACTAAAAACTGCAGGAGTGTATAAATGAATAATTTACCAACAGGAAAACAAAACTCAATTATCTATAGTTGAATACACAGATGAAATTGAAAATTTATTAACTAAAACAATCTAGCTTGGTAACTGATGTGACATTTACAATTTTTCATTTTTGAGGTGTAAGAACCGTGTGAGAAGTGAAAAGTTTAACTAAGCAACCTTTGTGATATTTTCTCTCCACTTTTTGAAATTGTGTCCCTAAATCACAGCCAATCAATATTCTTTATAAATACAAACACACAAACAGCATCTTCTCTCAAACATAATCATATCTTCTATCAAACACCAACAGTTCTATTCTCTATCCTCATTTCTCAACAGAACAAAGAGAGAGAAAACTATGGAATTGACACTAAATTCCTCGAGTTCTCTTATCAAACGTAAAGATGCCAAGAGTTCTAGAAACCAAGAGAGTTCCTCTAACAACATGACCTTTGCGAAGATGAAGCCGCCAACATATCAATTCCAAGCAAAGAACTCGGTTAAGGAAATGAAGTTCACTCACGAGAAGACCTTCTCGCCAGAAGGTGAAACCCTTGAGAGATGGGAGAAGCTCCACGTTCTCTCATACCCACACTCCAAGAACGAATCTAGCGTTCCTGTGTTCGTCATGTTACCGCTTGACACTGTAACAATGTCAGGGCATTTGAACAAACCACGAGCCATGAACGCTAGTTTGATGGCTCTGAAAGGGGCTGGTGTGGAAGGTGTTATGGTGGATGCTTGGTGGGGATTGGTGGAGAAAGATGGACCTATGAATTATAATTGGGAAGGCTATGCCGAGCTTATACAGATGGTTCAAAAGCACGGTCTCAAACTCCAGGTCGTTATGTCTTTCCATCAATGTGGAGGAAACGTCGGAGACTCTTGCAGGTAATGAAGCAACTTTAGTTTCCCTTTGAGTAAAATATCTGTCTCTCATTTCTAGCTAGCTTGGCTAATGCTCTATATGGTTCTCTCTCTTCCAATCTAGTATCCCCTTGCCCCCATGGGTGCTTGAAGAAATCAGCAAGAACCCCGATCTTGTCTACACAGACAAATCTGGGAGAAGGAACGCTGAGTATATCTCCCTGGGATGTGATTCTGTGCCTGTCTTAAGAGGAAGAACACCTATCCAGGTCTACTCAGATTTCATGAGGAGCTTCCGTGAAAGATTTGAAGGCTACATAGGAGGAGTTATTGCGGTAAGCAGAAATTTAGACTACAAAGGAAACGAATTAACTTCATATAAGACATGAGCAATACAGTGACCTAAGCTAACTGGATCATCATTTTTCATGTATTGCAGGAAATTCAAGTAGGAATGGGACCTTGCGGAGAATTGAGATACCCATCATACCCTGAGAGCAACGGGACCTGGAGATTTCCCGGAATTGGAGAGTTCCAGTGCTACGACAAGGTATTTTAAACTAGCAGAAAAAGCCTCAAAATTCATAAGAACATTAGTCAAGAGTTTAGAGAAATACCAGAGAAGATCATGTATACTTATGCTTACTTATACTCCATAGGCTTCTTCTAAGAAATAATACTTGTTGATTGCAGTATATGAAATCGTCACTTCAAGCATATGCTGAATCAATCGGGAAAACTAACTGGGGAACAAGTGGACCTCATGATGCTGGCGAGTACAAGAACCTCCCAGAAGATACTGAATTTTTCCGGAGAGACGGAACATGGAATAGCGAGTACGGAAAGTTTTTCATGGAATGGTACTCTGGGAAGCTACTTGAACATGGAGACCAACTCCTATCTTCAGCGAAAGGAATCTTTCAAGGAAGCGGAGCAAAGCTATCAGGAAAGGTAGCTGGGATTCACTGGCACTACAACACCAGGTCACACGCAGCTGAGCTAACCGCTGGATATTACAACACAAGAAACCATGACGGGTATCTGCCAATAGCTAAGATGTTCAACAAACATGGAGTAGTGCTCAACTTCACCTGCATGGAAATGAAAGATGGGGAGCAACCGGAGCACGCAAATTGCTCACCAGAAGGTCTGGTGAAGCAAGTACAGAACGCGACAAGGCAGGCTGGAACCGAACTAGCAGGGGAGAACGCGCTAGAACGATACGACTCTAGCGCATTCGGACAAGTGGTAGCAACAAATAGGTCAGATTCTGGAAATGGGTTAACCGCATTTACTTACCTAAGAATGAACAAGCGGTTATTTGAGGGTCAAAATTGGCAGCAGTTAGTGGAGTTTGTTAAGAACATGAAGGAAGGTGGTCATGGAAGGAGACTTTCAAAAGAAGACACAACTGGAAGTGACCTTTATGTTGGATTTGTCAAAGGCAAGATCGCTGAGAATGTGGAGGAGGCTGCTTTAGTGTAATATCCCACATAGGTACATATAGTGTGGTGTTTATTGTATTCCTGTCTGATAAATAAATAGAGAGATGAGAAAGAGATGAAACCAGTAGAGAGTGTTAAAGCTATAGATTTGCACAATACTGGGTCAGAGCAAAAAACAAGATGATGTACACTTAGATTGCAGTTAGAACTGTGTGTATCCTAAGGAAATTTCCTTGTACTTCTTCAAACTCTATCTCATATAATATGCATTTTTCTTCTCTTACAATCTTATCTGGTAACTTTTTCATACTTGCATTAACTCGAAGAATTTGAGAACACATCGTTTATACAATAATTGCTCAATTATCATGAACATTCTGGAAATTGTAAGTGACATAAATGGAAACTCACAGGAAAAACAATCAAAATCAAAACAGAGTTCTAACTTAGCAACAGATAACGAAAACCAAAATCGAAGAACTTCCGTCTTCGAATCAAAGCGCCTGGGAAATCGGAATACCTCAGTCATGAATGGGGAGGAGAATCAGAGTTCGAACCTCCACGGCGGAGCTCTTCGATTAAACCGCCGAGCTCTTTTCTCGCGGATTCTCTACCGAACATGAATCCATACCTTGAGGACGAGAAAAAGAGTATAAACCCTAGATATAAGAAGACATAGAGAGAGAAATCAAAAAGAAGAGCTAGGTAGACAATAAAAATCAATCACCAGCAAGAGACGGCGGAGAACACGCCGGAGATTGCCACTGTTTGGATCAACGTGAACGATTTCTGCATTTTTCTGTTTTAAGTTTTAACTCTGGGGAATTTTCCGGTCATTTCTCCTGAGGATTAAAAAGAAAGACATGAGAGCGGGAGAGAATCGTTTAATGGGCCTACGTTAATAATTTTTTTTGCCCAGCCCATTTAAACCTTTATTCACAGAAAAGTAGAAGGGACTGGTTCTGGCTTTGAGAGCTTTGTTTGTGAGCTTGAGCCAAGTCCTCTTCTTGAAAAATCTCCTAAGCTTAAAGTGAGCCAGCACAGCAAGTAGTTATGCGGTTCTGTGAAAAGGTACTACAAAAATCTTCTACGGCTATTATAAAGCTTGGTCGGGTTATTCAGATGTAAGTAGGCTTAGGCTGTTGGACTTGCGGCTGCTAGGATTTGCCTAGAGGTTAAGTATGGAGATGCCTACATTATGAAGCAAGAAGATACCAAGTTGTCTGATTCTTCTTACTATATGCTTTCTTAGTTCTGATTGATTTTGTCTATATGTAGTTCGTCTCTTTTTCCTAAACCAAGACGTACTTGAACCTTGTCTTAGACCAAATATCTTTTTATCTTCCGTCCAATGAACTTTTTGTTGGATTTTGGGTTTTGTCAAGGCAAGCTCCTTTGTATCTGGAATTCTCGTGTCAATTTCTATCGAAAGAAATCTAGTTAACAGAGATGTTATTTTCACACGTTACAAAAGTAAGACAATGTTTTGTTGCTTCTATTACATGTGTTACCGCGTTACAAAGATCTTTTGTTAACACACATTGCTTACTCTTCAACAACCTATGTACAGTTTTAAACCAGCCTGCTCATAAAAGAAAAAAAAAAAGTGGGAGAAAAGAAAAAGTAAACCTGTATTGCTTGCTCCATAGCCTGATCTCTTACTTATTACTTATGAGATCTCGACATTGGTTCCAAGTGGTTCACCTTCAAGAAAATCTCAACGGAGATGCAGATTTTGACTGTGTTCTCTAGACGTCTCTCTTTCTCTCTCGTGGCTTCGAAGAAGGTCGAGGTAAGGTCATGACTGTGATTATGTCAAAAGCTTTGTCACAGCAACTCACAAGGGATCATCACCACCACTACAATGAAATGTTTGGGTTTGGACAGCCTTTGTAGCAGCCACTCTAGCAGCATTTGCTGCTCGGTTTGCGACCATCACTGCTCTGTTTACTCTCTCTTCAACTTTCACAACTTCACGTGCTTTCTCGGCTGCTTTCCTTGCTTGCTGTTGAACGAAGAGACAGAGAGAGAGATGGAGAGAAGGATTAAATCTCATGTGGGTATTCAATTTGTAATCAATCATTGGATACATGTGTATACTCGAAACTTTACAGATCTAATATAAGCAGGAGTAAGATAATTTATAAGTTACCTGGACAGTGTCGAGAACCTTGGAATGGCTGATGGAAAACGATGAATCAGGACGAGTGGTCTGCTCGGTAGGACAGCTGAGAACTCCATCTTCCCAATGGCCTGCCTGTGTCTCACCATTCCTGAACGTGTACATACCAAGTCCTTGCCTTCTCCCCTCATGCCAGGCTCCTTCATACCGATGCCCGTTTCCAAATTGATACACTCCAAAACCATGCATCCTGTCTGCAAAATACTCTCCAGCATATGTATCACCATTTCTGCAAGAGAGATGTGGCTTCAAGTCAGATAGGTATCACTTAAGAAGAGAAGACAGTGATGGATGCAATTGTTTTCAGCTCAATACTCAAGTCAGCAAAAATAAGCTTGAATCTTGATTCCCACTAAACTTATAATTGTCTGAAATGTAAGAATAACCGTGGCAAGAGAGGAAGACAGCCAACATTTTTGGTCTAAATGCAACTGGAACTGAAAGCCAGAATCTTTCAAAGAATAATCTCATGCAATTATCAATTCCAGTAACAGTTAAGCTTAAAGTTTTGATATCATTAGGCAGTATAACAATCTATCAAGAACTCAAGATTGAAAGCCATAAACTTTTAGAACATCCCACGAGCAACATAGACATGGACCTGAACACAGCATCCTAAAGTCAAAGCACAAGTAAAGCCTTAACACAAAGTCGAGACTAAAAGCCAGAAACTTTCAGAAACCACATATACGTCAATCCCCAACCGCTCACACTAAATGTTGGTACTAAAAGTTCACCCTTATACCGAAAAGCTCAACCATTTCTGCAAAAGTTAAAACTGATGATTTCTCACCTGAAATGATAATGACCAAGGCCATGTTTGACACCCCATTTAAACTCTCCAACAAAACGACTACCATCCTCAGAGGTATACACACCACAGCCATGGCTCTGTCCATTAGACCACTCACCAGCATACACATCCCCTGTATAAAATCTGTAGATTCCAGTTCCATGTCTCATCCCTTGCCTGTATTGACCTCGGTACCTACTTCCTTTAGCCCAAGTTTCAACTCCATATCCATCATACTTCCCATCAATCCAATCCCCTTCGTATTTACCCTTCATAGAATAGTAATAAACTCCACTTCCTGAACACTTCCCCCTATGAAACTCTCCCTCGTATACATCACCAGAGCTGTACTTCTGAACCCATGAGCCAGAGTTGGTCTTCTTCTCAGTCACAGGCTTCGACCCAATTGACCAAACAACATGTTTAGTGCTCTCCTGAGATGAAGACGAGGATCTGGTAGGGTTAAGCTTGAGGGACAGCAATCGAGCGATAATCAAACGAATTGATGGTAAGTGAGGAAGAGCGAATTTGAGAGAGATCGAAAGGACAAAAGAGAAAGCGATAATCGAAAAGACGAAAAGAAGGAAGAATCTGAAACTAATCAACAAGAAAAAGATATAGAGAGGAGGAACAGAGAGAAGAAGTAAGAAACGAAGATGGAAACATATCAAACGGACTCTAAGAACATGACGAAGAAGCTTCTGATTAGTCGCCGATGGGATCGATGGAAGAGAAGAAGAAAACCACGATAAAAGATACGACGGGCAATAAGATGAAATCGAACCCAAGCTTGCGCGTTGTCTTCGGAAATCGTCAACGTTGAACGGATTAGAAGATTGAACCACCACAGGTCTCTTCGATGTAAGATTCTGAGACGATGAATCTGGGATTTCAACCGTTAGATGACGACTCTGAGCTTGAACTTGATTGTTATACACACTGAAACCAGCGCCAGCACCAATGTCTGGAGTCAGAATCTCAGGTACCTGAAGAGGACGATGATGATGTTTAATCTTAGGTTTCGGATCCAAATCGGAGGAAGAAGATAAACAACCGGCGGTTTCTTTTCCGATGTACCGCCGTTCTGCTACAGTTGAATTCTTCAGATGCATTTACATACAGAATCTGGACTTTTGGAAGAAGAAGAACGGTGAAATTTGAGATTAGGGTTCTTAACAAATTAGGGTTTCTGTGATCTCAAAGACTTGCTTTTTATGTTCCTTTAAACTGTGTTTTCTAGTTTTCAGGAAATGATGAAGAACGAGCTCAGTTTTGAAGCTAAGGTAAAGAAGCTTCTTAAATAAAGCCCTTGCATTTCGTTTTATTTACCGTTATGCCATTCGTTTGCCCCCACTTGATCCTTAAGCTTAGTTTAATGTGAGATTAGTTAAATCTCTCTCGTCATTAAGATACCAAAAGACTCTCTTTTAGTTTAATTAATTAAGAGTAACTTAGCGATTCAATGTGCAAACATTAATGCCGTACATAAAAATTTAAAATTGAGGTCTTTTAAACTCTCTTATTAAAATAGTTCTATTCTAGGTAATAATTGTGTCAATTGCTTGTAGAAATGGCAATATAATGAACTTTTATTATGTTTATCCGGATGGTTTTGAGACTAATACAAGCATTTTTGCTTGTACGGTTTAATTCTACGTGTCTGCCATTAGCGTGGCAAACATGACTCTTTTCATGATTTTAATTCTTATTAATGATATTGTTTTAAGCAAACATATCACATAAATTCTACTATTACTAATTACCTCCAAGTCAGACAATATTTAGCATGCATAATTCTAATATTTTTAGGTAATGGTCGCATATCGACAGTCAATTATTTCACGTGACGTTAAATTTAACGCTGTTAAATAATTCTGTTACGCCCAGTAATGATTGTTAAGTTTCGGGTTCGAAATTACCAAATTTTAAAAAACGGTAGTTTTAAAAGGCAATTAAAATTAAATAAAATATTTTTATTCTAAATTTAAAAATACAAATATTAAACGGCCAAGAAAAAATAGATAGCAATTTTTCGGGTTTTTTTCCGTATCCAAATACAATTATTTGATTCATAACCATTTATTATTATATTTTACATAACGACACATAGTGACATGTATAATTCTACTCATAAGTATTATCTTACATAATTAAGTCATTAAGTGTGAACTCACAACAATATGTTTTTGACATAATTAGTTTTTGTTTGATTCTCGCCGTATAGCAATTGGATTAATTTAAGAAGTGAGGTCATACAAGAAACATCCAATATTAGTTTAATAAATAATATTTTATATAATAATGAAAAGGTTCTTAAACATAATTAACAATTTAACAACCAAATTGAAAAAAAAAAGAACTCACTCATAAAACTCATACCTAAACTAAAAAAATAGTCCAACTATGATTAAGATGGAATTTCAACTCCCTATATTTAAATCATTCATTATATTTGTAAACAATAATAGACCTTAATGAGTAATTAACTAAAAAGTATGAATTTTAATATAGAAAAGGTTTGAATTAGTACTAGAAGAAAATCATAATCAACAAGTACAGTTTTGAAAGATGAGAAAGAGTCATAAATTTCCAATTAAAAATAATAATAAACCTCCTTTAGTTAAATCAGAATATTCAACTTTGTGTCTTGTAGTTATTTAGATTCATCATAGATTAGTCGTTTAGTTTGATAATTCTATTTTTCTTCCAGTGCACGTAAAGAAACATTAGCAGCAAAGGGTAGTGTTGTAATAACGAAGTGATAAGACGAAAGATGAGTCATCAGATTCTTTCAGCTGCTAATCTCTGACCACGTGTCAGCCATAAAGCGGCTAATATTAGCATTGCCTCGAGATGATAGAACGACACCGTTCGATACCGATCCAATGGAATAGAGGGATAAGTTTTTTGGCAACTTGACTTTCTAATTTCTCTAATTTAGATATCATCCAAAAGTGCAAGTCTCTATCCTTTTTTATGGGCTCCCAAACGCATCTTTCCAATGTAGATAATTGTTATCTATATCAAACAAAACCTTTATAGTTTATACAAATATCGAATGATAAAAAGGTAACAAAGCTTTGACCCTAACAATAAAAAAAAAATAGAAAGAGGAAAGGTAATAAAGCAAAACTAACGAGATAAGATGAAGTAGTGTGGTGAATATACTAAAGTTTTGGAACGAACGTAACAATGATTAATTAAATTATTTAAATTTGTTTAAGTAATTATATCTATCATTCTTAAATGATCAAAATAACTTTGTAAAACTTACTTAACTAAATGTGTTGCTCAACGGTTTGCTTCGATATTTCCTTTTCCCATTTATATGAAAGGATAAAGATTGAAAACTACACAAAGGATAAACATAAATTAAATGAACAAGTTCATTTTGTATTCGAGTTGTGTGGTCAGAGTTCTTGTGGATTCATTAATTTAATGTCGCAATACATTCTCTTTTTCTTGACAATTATATTATAGGAGCGTTTTAGCTAATCATATTACTAAGTGTCTGCTTTGAGAAACAAAATACTCCAAGTGAAAACAAATAAAATAGAAGGATCTGGAAAAAAATGTGGTTAGTACAAAACAGAAACAAGCGATACAGAACAAACCAAATCAAAGCTATATACATGGTGAGTTGGTGACTATGATTAGTGCAGTGTAATTATAATGTTCATATTAAATGTAGTTTGCGAAAATAAAAAGAGATAAAATTCGAGAAATTGTTTTACTAACACTTAACACTTTAAGTGATTGAATTAAAATTTTTTGCATAAAATTGCATTGGTTGATGAAATTCATGTGCATGTTTTTTTTTATCAAAAAAGGGTTGAATTAACAATAAAATAAAAAACTAAATCAAACCACAATTGAACGCTCTATAATATTTAATGCGTTGATACGTTCGCATGTTCAAGATTTTCTTCATGCATGTTTGCCGCTTGGTTTGAATCTCGAGAGATCCACGTGAACTTGACATTCGCAAATCACAAATTTTCATCATTGAACTTCAAAGTCTTCACTAATCGTCTAATCCAGTTGTGAAAACCAAAGTCCATTGCCCTGTTATTGATCATTAAGCTCACCCAAAAAAAAAAAAAAAAAAGCTCACCCTCAAATTGCAATCTCCTTCAAATAAAACCATTTAGTAGCTTCACAACCAAACATTGCATTGCCATTAATATGGAACTCATTTTCCAACGTGGATTTAGATTGAGCCTGACCTGCCAAGAAATAGATTCCATTTACAATTGTATCTCTCCCAGTCCATCCACCCTGAGATATGCGGTCGTGTGACTTGTGTGATTGGTATAAATACCAACATAGTTACACTTAATACACAACACACCTCATTCCTTTCCTAGTTATTTTTTTCCAAATTTTCTTTCACATGCATATTGAATAAACATTTTCTGTTCAAGTAAGGTCGTAAACATTTTCTATCCAAATTTTTTTTTTGTTACCAAAAAAGAAAAGAAAAGAATATCTCGACGTTAAGGAAAAATCTTCGAAAGAGAGCACAACAGACAAAACAAGAGATCACAATCATCTGCCATGAAAGTTCAAAGGTTCCAGAGCGGAAGCCGCAGCCACGAATTGACTCACCAACACTCTCTTCTCTTTCTCTCTCTTCAGTATTATTGAAGAAAGATTCCAAATTTTTCAATTTCACATGAAACCTCACTTCTCTCTTCCTTTTGCTTTCGCATCTTCTTCGTCAACGAATCCTCGGACTCTCCGGCGATGCCCCGTCGATTAAACGACGGCGAGCCTGGCCGTTTTACCGCCACCGCTCTTCTTTTAATCGGTTTGATCTCTTGTGTTATCGTCTACGCTGTCTTCTCTACTATCCTTCGTCCTCAAGATCGTAGACTCGTTGATTCCGCGGTTCGATTCACGGAGGGGTCGCGAGGTCACGACGCGGCTGAAGAAGGTGGAGGCGGGTGTTGCCGTGGAATTGATAATTTGGAGCTTTGGGGTCCGGCGGTGAAGTGGGGGACGGATTTCAAGTTTAATTCTTCGGATGGATGTTGTAAAGCTTGTAAAGTTATGTGTAGCGGTAACGATGGACCTTGCTTGTGCGATTCATGGGTCTTCTGTGGAAACAAAGACGCTTGTGGGTCGAAGTTTGGAGAGGTAAAAAGTCTGATCCTTGTCATCGAATCGAATTGTGTGCATGATTTACCGATATCGTCCGCCAAGTGTTCGACAAAATGCTTAATTGCGCTTTTTATCGTCAAATTTCTAGATATTTAGTAGAAAGTTACTAAATTTAAAGATTTTTGACACGATGTGTGATTAGTGATTGAGAAATGCTTACTTTGGTGACACTTGCCACCGGTTCAAGTTCCAGAGACTGAGGTCGTTTTTTTCTCTGCGCAGTGTTGGTTGAAGAAGCAAAAAGATGTCTTGGTGCCTGATCGACAAGGAGGTGGGGAGAAAGTAATGTGGACATCTGGGCTTATCTTCGGACAAGGCCAGGTAGGAGATCTATATAACATGTCAGAAAATTAACTCCATTGATCGACCAAATTCAAAGTTAATGTTTTTTTCAAACGCTGGATTTAATAGGTTTCAATGAGATTTCACTAACTATAACTTTAATTGTGTTCTCATTTTCGTCAAACATTTACTATTCCATGAAGATTACTCAGCTTTTGGTATTGATTTGTCTGTCTGATTAGATGACGCTCTGTTTCATCAGATTTCACAAGATTATACTCGTGACAACAAAGTGTTCTCGATGATTGTCGTAATTACTGATTAGCTACTTTGTTTCTGTTAGGGCATTGTTGGTTTTGAAACGGAACACGGCGTAATTCATGTCAAAGTAAGTATCTTATTTATAATGGCTTTTTTGTACTTCGTGGGAAAGTTTCTGTTTTTGTTTAAAAGTTCCAAATTTGACACAATGCTTCCCTTCGTTGCAGCTTCACCCTGAGTGCGCTCCTCACTCAGTATACTACATTCTGAGTTTGTTAACTCTACGCCACTGTGCAGGCTGCCAGTTTCATCGAGCAGAGAACCGGGGATCATATTGGGACTCAGAAGGCAATCATGTAAAGAATGTAAGAGACCTTACACAAATTTTGCATTTTAATTCTTAGATTTTGCATAATCACTTTCCAGTGTAGATCATAGCAGCTATGATCTGATCTCATAGTACAAATATTGATCCATGTTTTAGGATCTCTGTCAATTTGATACTCTTAGCCATTTGATTCATCCATTATACATTTTTATTTATCCGTCTTTGATATTGAAGTTCAAATGTGTGATAGACATTTAGCCATTTGATTATACATTTTTTAAAGAGAATATCCGTCATTGATGTTAGACACACGGGTGTGATCAATGGGAACTGACTGCCTCTGGCTAAACCCACATTGTTGTTGAGACTGTATAGAGTGCTTGTCACCCTTTCTACCGATTAAATTTCCTTTAAAATGTTTGTTCATATCTCGCATATAATGTGAGGCATAAAGCATAACTGGTCTGATCGCATAGTAGACATTGTGACATGCGTTATGAACTGATTTCTGTCAATTTGATAGAAACTTTAGCCTTTTGATTCATTTGATTGCACTCCTTTCTTTTTAGAGAATAACACATCTCTAATATCGAAGATCAAATGGGTCGTGTGATGAATGCTTTAGTACTGTATGGAGTGAGCTTGTCGTGGTCTATATCGGTTCCATTTCCGTTTGAGCTTGTTCATACCTTATTACAGGCCTTTCTTCCTCTACACAAAAAGATTTCACTTGTTATTTAAACTCTCACCCTTTATCCGTGTCCCTGCAGGCTCCCTTTGGCCCACCATACGCTATGATTCAAGGAATACTCCACGCCGAGGGAAACATGTTCACACCGATTCCAACCGAGCACTGCCCAACTATAAGCCGTGGCTCGGTGGCGTGGGTCGGCTCGGGTCCAGAATTCTTCATCAGTTTAGCAAACCACCACGAATGGAAACAATCTTACACTGTATTCGGCTCAGTTCTACCGGAAGACATGGATGTTGTGGAGACGATTGCCGGTTTACCGACAAGAGCCGATGTCTGGAACAGCGTCAATGTCTCTGTGCTGGAGAAACCGGTGTCCTTAACCGTATGGAGAATGAAGACGGGCCAAGAACAAGAAGAAACCGGTTCATGAAGAACACAGCTAGAAATGAGTCCAGAATAGTTCTTGTTTCTTTTTTGGAATGGGAAAATCACATTTTTATTTTTAATCCTCAAAGTGTAACTGTGAAGCACTTTAAACCTCGAAAGAATTCTATTAACACTATAATTTATAAACCACCAAGATTGTTTTACTAACACTTTAAACCTCCAAACTAACTTTTCTGTTTGCAAAGCTATAAAAAATGATAGAACAATCAATTTATGTTTGTTTAATATATATTTATTTAATTTAATTTAAAAATAAAAATCTGTAAAAAACAAAAAAAAAACTTTATTATAGCTATATATATATATTAAACAAACATAAATTGATTATTCCATCATTTTTTATGGCTTTGCAAACAAAAAAAACTAGTTTGGAGGTTTAAAGTGTTAGTAAAACAATCTTGGTGGTTTATAGTGTTAGTAGAATTCTTTCAAGGTTTAAAGTGCTACCCAGTTATACTTTGAGGGTTAAAAAATGTGATTTTTCCTTTTTTGAATTTTACAATCTCTCTTTGTTCATAGATAGAAACTACAACAAAAAAAACCTTAAATTTTCTTGGTTTTCTAGCCATTTAAATGAAAATTTATTGGTTACTATATTCCAAAATTAAAAAGTTTAAATCGAACCAAAACTAAAACCGAAACTGAATACAATGACTCCAAACTAAACCGAATACATTGGGTTACTCTTAACCGGTAAATTGACTATCTGGCAGAGAGAGAGGTCTCTTAAAACGACTGCGCGTATTCGACGGCGGTGGAGAAGGTTGCGTCGGGTGCGCACACGTCACCCACTCCGCGGCGCACTTTAGCACAACTCTCAACCGGCCACCTCCTTCTCGGCCCAATCCTTCTTTAACCTAACTTTTCTTCTAACGTGCGCCTCTCCTCTCCTCCGCCTCTTTATTATCTCTTACCCACCGCTCTTTCTACTTTCACTAATTTATTCTTCGCCGCCGCAATGTCAATCCCCGATGATGGATCTCCCGTCGCCATGGCCATCGATTCTTCCACCGCCGTAACCGTCGCCACCACCACCACTAGGAGAGTTCCTCCTCCGTGCTGGACCGACGAAGAAACCGCTGCGCTTGTCAATGCCTACAAGGATAAATGGTTCGCCCTCCGCCGTGGGAACCTCCGTGCGGCTGATTGGGACGACGTCGCCGCGGCTGTTTCGTCCTCGTCCACCGTGGGAGGTCCGCCGAAATCAGCAATCCAATGTCGACACAAGATCGAGAAGCTACGGAAACGTTATCGCGGCGAAAAACAACGGTCTCTTAATCGACCAGGCAAGTTCTCTTCCTCTTGGGATTTGTTCCCAATCTTGGATGCTATGGGATTCGCTCCGGTGACTCCGGCAGCCGTAGAAACTTACGATCCAGATGTGGATCATGATGATGAGAGTAACGGTTTGGATGGATTTAGGGTTAGATCGAAGAGGTCTGGGAAGTTTAGCGGTGGTTACTCTGATTCACCTCGAGATGTAGGAGATGGATATGGGGTTAGATCTAGGGCAAGGAGTAACATGAAGTTGTATGGTGGTTTCAAGTCTGAGTTTGAATCAGATCACGATTCAGGAAGTGGATTTGGATTGAAAAGGAAATACAATGGGAATCCAAAGGTTAGTGCTGATTTTGAAGCTGATTCCGATGATGAGATTGTGTTAGTCCCCAAGGCAACTAGGCTTAGGGGTCATGGCAAGCCTTCCTCTGGCGAATTTAGCCATGGCGGTGGTGGTGGTTTTCCGTTGAAGTCGTTTGGTGATCGGAATTTCGCTTCTCATGGATTTAAACCCAAGAATTTCAGTAAGCCTGAACCCAATTTCTCTCAGGATCTGGATTATGATGATGAGTTTGATGATGATAGAGCAGAGAGAGAAGGATTCAACCCGAGGATTCAAAGTTCTAGAAGCTCTTCGCGGGTGAATGGCTACAGCAGGAAGGACGGGAGCTATCCTCGAAACACTGGTGTTTCCAATGGCTATGGATCGTCTTCTAGGTTCAAGCACGAGCAAATGAACGCAGCAGCAGAAATTGAGTCTGACCCGATTGATGAAGTTGTCTCTTCTGTTAAGATGTTGACAGAAATGTTTGTGAGGGTGGAGAATTCGAAGATGGAGATGATGAGAGAGATGGAGAAGTCGAGAATGGAGATGGAGCTGAAGCATTGCCAGATGATGCTTGAGTCGCAGCAGCAGATCATAGGCGCGTTTGCTGAAGCATTGAGCGAGAAAAAGAGCACAAATGCAAGGAGGCCGGTTTCTTAGTAGCAAACTCTTATTCAAGAGGAATGAACGGTTCATAATATGGATTTTCATATGGTATAATGATCAAATAGCTTTCGAGTGTAGTACGAAGTGTCTTCTTCGAGTTTCTAGGAACCAAACGGCAGTGAAATTTGATGCGAGTAATGCAGGTTAAGGTTTAAATTATTGGCATTTTGATAATTTGATAAGATGAAATTTGTGTTTTAACGTAGGATAGCCAAATCGTGTTTGCAGTGACTTTTTTTTATATTGGAACAGAGAAGTAACTCAGTTTTTCCCGCCTTTCAACTTGCAAAATTCGATACTTGCCCATGGTCAGAAGAAATTCGCAGGTTGGTACAAATTGTCTACAGAACTTAGTTTCGTATAAACAATTTTCATAGTCTATACCTGCGAAAAAACAAAACAGACACCAAAGTCGAGGGAAAGAAGAGCTAATTCCAGACAATAAACAATTAAAACGCTCTTCAACTTGAACGCTTCAGGCTTCATTACGATAACCCCTGAGATGGGGTAAAGTACATCGCCGGAAAGTCCACTTGGTTCCGGCGACGTCTATTAACAAAGAATGCCACGATAGGAGGAAATAATATGAATCCTGTAATCACCGGGTATGCAATGGGCAAGAGGGACGCTGCGACCTCCCTGAATGGGCTATTTGGATTTGGAAATGTATCGCTGAATGATGCATAATTAGCAATCCCGAGAGCCGCTGTTGAACCATAAAGGACCATCCACATAGGGAGTCCAATTATGAGGATCATAATCACAAATAGAGATGAGAAGAAGGCAACTCCATTGACGATAAAAAAAAGTAAGGCATGGTTGAAAGACATGGTCATCTGCCCAGCTGCATGAACGTTGTAATCATTATCTTGGGTTGAATCTGGGGAATTTTCCTGCAATATCCGCCAGGAGGACTAAGACCAGCTTGGTAGGTGGCTGTTACTATCAGTATAGCCACCACAAGTATTGCACTGCGGCTGTCATTACTATTTAAAGATCTGTGGCTAGGCTGGAACAAATGGTTCAGCCCTAAGAGCTTGTTCTGTTGCGATGGCCTTTCGCGCAAGAATCCCACAAGATTCATCGTGGGTCCAAAAAGGAATTTTTCTTTAGCACTGCGGATAATTCTGCTTACTTTGGGGAAACGAGGAGATTGATGAGTCTGAAGTATGTCCATCGCGGTCTTACCAGCCAAGTTTTTGGCTTTTACTTTCACAGTTCTACGTAGTAGCTTCATGACCTGCAAAAGCAATCACACATAAACATCTATGTATCACTGATAACTCCACTCGTCGCCACAGAATCCCATGGACCAACAGCAATGTTTGACCAAAACTTGTATGGCAAAACAAGAGTTTTAAGGGAAAAATAGGAACAGACATCTACCTCAGTTTGATTTATGGATGCAGCAATATGGAAGACTGTGTTACCATCTTCATCTTTCCAGTCCAAGATTTCTTCTTTGTGCTCTCTCTGAACCCATCCCCATAGAACCTTAAATGCCAACAGCTGGTGGTTCTTGACGGCTATGTGCACAGCTGTCTCGCATTTTATAGTCAGATCTTCTACAGAAGATGGACAAGCAAACAAGAACTCGGTCAATAACTCTGCATGACCTATTTGAGCCACATAATGCAAAGGCGTGATCCTTCCTCGTCCCTTGATGCTGACTAAGTTGCTGTCAATTGCCACAAACCCTCTCACAGTTTGAAAATGGTTGTTTTCCAGGGCTAAGTGCATTGGGCTGAAACCTGACGGGTTTAGCTTTAACGCAAGCGACGGCTTAAGGGTCATCAATTCCATGGCGAAATGCGTTTGTCCCCTTTCAGCTGCAATGTGAAGTGGCGTCTCACAAAAAGGCAGTTCATCAAAGTGTCCTAGAATCTTTGGATCTTCTTCAATCAACTTGTAGAGTCTCTCAATATCCCCAACTTGAGCCGCCTCGTTAAGTCTCTCATAGATATTAACATTTTGAGCTGCCATAACCGATACTCTATTGACACCCCTTTCTGCTATCACGAGACTTATCCAGGCTCTTGCCTCTGCAGTTTGTTTGTTTTTGTTTTGGATCCTGCAACACAGACTTTAGTAAAAAAACACAAAAGTCTCCGGTCAACTGCTTGCATATGAAGGACCTTGATTGTCCTAATTCCAGACCATTCATTTTCCATTATCAAATAATCAACTACCAGGTCAACTAATAAGTCCACGCACGTATGGGTTAGTGGTAACAATCTCTTTCTGGCGTGGCGTTACTGAGGCAACTAAATGGATTAATGGGCTTGTAACTCTCTTTTGTATAACTCGCATTTTAAGTGAATATTCTTCTGTAGCAGAGTGAAACCAAATAAACTAAGACTACTTAAAAAGTGAAAATAGGTACTACAAAGGATACTAAGAAGGCCATCAACTGGTAATTCTGAATAGTTTTCTTATTTCTTATTTCTTTTTTTTTTTTTGTGTGTCAAAAATACTAACCATAACGTTATTCTAACTAAAAATGAAAAAGAAAATAAGTGAAAACAACGGAGAAAGCTGTGGAAGCAAGGCACATACAATTCATACAGTTGCTGAAAAAAGATATGACATTTCAAATGTTATATTCATACAACCAACTCTCACGTAGCTAGTGCTTAGAGTGGACATAACGCTTATAAGACAAGAAGCTGAACAACAAGATTCTGGCTTTTGGTGCAAAGTCAAATATAAAACTTTGATCACAATGGATTTCGATTCACGTCTTTGTACAACAAATACCGAGACCTAGTCTTTCCGAGTGCAGCATACCTGAAACAAAGTATAGTATCTGAGATAGTGTGGTCGAATAATCTTTCAGTTACAATCAATACACAGTTCCAATAGAAAGTTCTTTTCTTCTTGCAAAAGTTTGAATCTTTCTTGAAACAGAGTAGAATATATCATGTTGTGGGACAACAGTCTCTTACCATTGAGGGACAAAAGGAGCCATCCATATGACATCACCAGCCTGAACTGGATACCTATTTATAGACAAGATCATAAAAAAGTTATAAACATTGCTTGTATTGTGTGGAATATAGCTCTGCTTCCAGTAATATTTTGGAACATGCTTCTGATCACATTACATGACCGATGCAGAAAACTATTGTTCTTGGTTGTGCATGTGGTGTGTTTCTGGAAGTTATATAGATCCACCATTTCGATTTATTAATACAGTGTTGCGTACCAGTTATCGCCCAAGCGATAAATGCCTTGGCCCTCCAGAAGCAACAAACCATGTTGGTTATAATGAACTTCCTGTTCACATTGCAAAATTATTGACAAGACGAAATGGAAAAAGAACAGTTATGAGCAGCAGATGGTGTCAATATCTGCATATGGTAATGAAGTTAATCTGTTCTATACCTTAACATTCAGAAACTCTCCAGGCTGAAAATCCATAATCTGCATATAACAGACAACAGTAATTAGGCTTTAGAGGTCTCAAGAAGCAAAAGCATTCATCCAATCAAATGAAGTGCTTACATGGATATTAAAGTCATAAGCAAGGGACACAGGAAGAAGTTTCCGCAGTTCAAAAACCTATAAAAATAACAAAATAGGTTTTCAGAGAGGACTAATTTAGGATCTAACTTGGATTACAATATAAATTAAAAGATCTCAGATGCATTCTGAGAAAATTGGAGAACTTTTGCACACTTACCTCACCAGGAGTCTCAAGTAGTGGTTGCTTGTCTGTGGAGCCAACGATGAGCTCTGTAGTATGACTTCCTAGATGTTCATACCTATAGATGTAGCGATATTGGATGAGTTTTTAAGTTATAAATAGTAGAGAGAACTCAAAATTTTCTTGTCATCTTAAGGGAAAGGAGAAAAACCTCCGCTCGAAGACAACAAGTGTTGCAGACTCAACACAGTTCAAGGAATGATGAAAGTTTGGAGGCAGGTACGCATATGAATCAACCTACAGGAAAAATGGATTTGAAAATGAAAAAACTAACGGAGAAACTTGCAACCATTTCACCATCAAAGCTGGGCAGAGATGATGTAACCAGAAGAATACTGTAGTAAATTATTCTTTATACAAATCATACCGTCAATGTTTTTGAAGAACTGGATGTGTTAGTGAGTGTCACAGCACCCTCGACCACGAATACAAGACTTGAAGAAGATTCAACACATTGAAAGGAGTGAATAAGCAGAATGTAGATCATAAGTGTAAGCATATGTTAAAGAGAAAGTTCATATAAGTAACAATACCGCTCTATGGCTTGTGGAGGCAAACCTGAACTTGACATTTCTGCAAGAGGCAATAAAATCAGCTAGATGATCATCAGATTCTACGAGTAGATCATATAAAACAGCAAATCCTTAAACCCTTAATCACTAGACTTGTTCTGCGCAAAGCAAGAACAAGGGAATGTTCTAATAACAATGAGATTAGTGTAGCAGCACACTCAAGGACACAAAGCTAGATCCTAACTCTATATCAAATTATATAAGAAAATAATCCCAAGAAGTTGACGTTCATTACTTGTGAGAAGAGAATGGTTTCAGACCTTTCATTTTCGCCAAGTACATGACAAAATGGGATCCTGTTGCCGGAGTGATCAAATATGCCCCTAATGTGTTTTTCCTGTAAGTTTGAGCAACAAAGAAGTGCAAGAACTTGCCAACTTTAGACTTTAGTAGTTATAGAATTAAGAAAAGTAGGGAGATTAAAAGAGAGTTATGTACCAGTCAGGTAAAGGGCTGTATACATGACTTTCCGGTGTTATTAACGCATGATCTCGTTTGTATACACTTCGTGTGAAACCAGGCAAGTCTACAAAACAACAGAATCATAAATTTTCTGCTTAAACACTTTATGAAGATGCAAATGCAAAATGCCCAATCTAATTATACAAAGGGAGAACTCTCAGAAAGAGCCTATATCAACAGAACTGAACATGAATGCTTCCATGGTTATGTCAGCCGCGTAATTGATCAAAAGTTAAGAGCTTTTTGCATGACATGAGCCAGAGACCCTCTCAAATTAAACACTAATTCAAGTAATCCTAACTTTTCAATAACTTAATCTCAAAATCAATCCTATACGCCAATACCTCGAACAATTGATCTAAAACAGCAATCGAACTTAACCAGCAAAAGTATCAAACTTTTTATAACACGAAGCTGTAAGAAAACACTTGAACCTTGGAGGTGTGAAGGAGAGAGTGTTGGATTTGTGGCTTTCCAATAAATAGGTTTCGTTTTCTCATCCGATTCAACAATCGAAGGCGCTGAACAAAACCCATCATCGCTTTTCGAAGCTTTAACAAGACCTTTGATAACAAATAAGAAAGTTCTGATTAGTTTCACAGTATACACAAAAAAAAACTGATGAATAATATAAAAGATTCGTACTTACTGATAACGATGAAGAAGATTAAGTGAAGTGATCGCATTTTTGCTGAGAATTAGTGGAACGATTCAGGTTCAATGCTTTATTCATTCATGTTTATAAAAATCTGAAGAACACGACAGATGATTCTCTGAAGTGGCCAGTAGATGTTTTGTTTGGTAGCCTCATAAAATTATATTTTTCGAAAAAGCGGAAACTCCCGGTTTTACTCCGGTTTGATTTGGTTTCTTTTAAAATCGAAAACCGAAATTTTACTATTGGGCCTATCTGTTGAGCCCATTAATTATGTTATGAAGCCCGAGTTGATACAGATCGTCGTTATCGTTTCAGGGTCTCGACGACTCTTCTTTCTCTCTCTCTTTCTCTCTGCAACAAACAAAAAATGGAGGTAGCAGCAGCGACTGCGACGAGCTTCACAACGCTCCGAGCTCGTACGTCAGCGATTATCCCGTCTTCAACACGTAATCTGAGATCTAAAGCGAGATTTACTTCATCTTCTACTCTTAGAGCTTCTCTCTCTAATGGCTTTCTCTCGCCGTATACCGGAGGAAGCATCTCTAGTGACTTCTGCGGCGCTAAGCTTCGTACGGAATCGCTGAATCCGTTAAATTTGTCCAGTTCCAAACCTAAGCGCGGAGTTGTCACTATGGTACTCGAATTTATACTTTTTTCAGTTTCTTCATTAACGAAGCTCCCTATATTGTTAGGATTTTGAAATTGAGGTTTTCGTGGCTATATCTGAGATTTATGCTCCCTTGATAGTCAGTTTTAGGAAATTGTAGTGGCCGAGAACTGTTGTTTCTTAGTTTTGAACCAATGGATTAGAGTAGCGAATGCTCATTCATTTTTATAGCTGAGATTTATGCTTCTGTGGTAGTGAATTTCCAGAAATTGTACTTCGACCAACTGTTGTTCCTTTAGCTTCGAATTAATGGATTAGAGTGACTCTAGATATATGCGATTAGATAGCAAAGACTGCTCATTCATTTCTGTTGTTTAATTGATCGGAAATGGTACATGTTTAGTTAGAGAATTGAGTATGAAGATTAGATAGTGCAGTTTGGGAAGAAATTATGTGCTGTGTGTTTGGCTGGTAAGGAAGAAGTTGAGTTATTATGTGGCAGAGGTTTCACGTAATTGTGTGTGCTACTTATAATATGCATCACTTGCTCGGATTATGATTATGGATCCCCTGGCTGTCATAGAGAATTTGGAGGCTGCTATATTCTTTCCAGTATTGTTTATTGTTTATTGTTGATCAATTCACTGTTGGTGAGCCTTTTCTTTTTCTAAGGTTCTTATCGTCGTGCTTCTCTCTTGTCAACAGGTTATACCTTTCTCAAAGGGAAGTGCACACGAACAACCTCCTCCTGATTTGGCATCATATTTGTTCAAAAACCGAATTGTATATTTGGGAATGTCTCTTGTACCTTCTGTTACTGAGTTGATACTCGCGGAGTTTCTTTACCTTCAGTACGAAGACGAGGAAAAGCCTATTTACCTTTACATAAATTCGACAGGGACAACCAAGGTAGGCTTCCCTTGGAAAGTCCATCATATTAAGAACGCATGCTGAATAGTTAAAATAGAAACTGTGGGTTGTTTCAAATGAACGATTAAACGTTTATAAATCATTGCCTATTCCTTCAAAATGTTTTAAGATAATTTATCTTCTCCCATTTCAGAATGGTGAAAAGTTGGGCTATGATACTGAGGCTTTTGCAATCTACGATGTCATGGGGTAATTGATCGTTATCCATTTTCTCTACTTACTTTTCCCCTTAATAGTATCGATAACTAGACATGAATCCTGAAACTGCTTTCCCAAATATTCAAAACTGCACTTGGAGACAATTTTCATATCAAGCCTATTTTGGGGAGACTGACCAGTTATCCATGCAGCAATCAACTCTGACTTTATCTTTGACTTCAGGTATGTCAAACCACCAATCTTTACTCTTTGCGTCGGGAATGCTTGGGGTGAAGCTGCTTTGCTTCTGACTGCTGGTGCAAAAGGAAATCGTTCCGCGTTGCCCTCATCAACTATTATGATAAAGCAGGTTCTTTCTGATCGTTTCTTTTAGATATTTGGTGGCGTCTTTTCCCTCTCCTTGAAGATTTTGGTTTTCTTATTCCAGTTAAAAGAAACAAAGGCTTATGATTCCTAATTTCTGTGCATGCATCTCTTACTCATCCACATAATTTTCTCATGTATGTTAACTTTGTAGCCCATTGCACGATTTCAAGGCCAAGCAACCGATGTTGAAATTGCAAGGAAAGAAATCAAGCACATAAAGACAGAAATGGTGAGAAGATAAACTTGATATGAATCACATAGTAGAGAATCAAGTTTTGACCCTTGTAATGTACGTAGAGTATCTTAGTTTGATCTTCATTATGCAACAGTGTCCAGTTGTGGTGTGATTTGGGTCTTTTAATAGGTAGATATAAATATATGTAACATGTAGGCAATGGGTGTACACTCGCAGACATCTTAATATGCATCAATTAGCCATTAATAGTATGCACTTGCTAGCATTCTCATTACGATACTTTTCACTTTTATCTTCAAACTTACCTGAAAAGTTGTGTCTCCGTTCTTTGTAATGTTATGTTCAAGGTCAAGCTGTATTCAAAGCATATTGGTAAATCCCCTGAGCAGATTGAAGCTGACATGAAACGCCCGAAATATTTTAGTCCCAGTGAGGCTGTTGAGTACGGGATCATTGATAAGGTACGATAAATGACAGAAAAATCTGCAAAACGTATGAGTGATTTTATTTTCCGTCAACGTAGAGTCATTATCTTTTGCATAATTGAATTATTTTCTTCCTGTAATCTGTTTGCAGGTGGTTTACAATGAAAGGGGCAGCCAAGACAGAGGAGTTGTGTCTGACCTTAAAAAGGCACAACTCATTTGAATGTCAGAATTGTCTTCCGAAATCCCATGATTAACAGGTAAAAGCTTAAATTTGCTCGCTGTCATTCTACATATCGATTATAATGATGATGAAATTGCTTTTTGGACTTTAATCTCCTATAATTACACAAAGCATAAATTTTACACTTCCTGGGGGGATATTCTGGAATCATGTACCACTTTCGTTCTGTCAAATTTGGACCAAATATCCCATTGTCCTGCACTCACTAACAAAGAGGAACACCTGTAAAAGTTCTAATAGTTTTTACACCTCATAAATGGTTTATGATAATTACTTTAGCATTCAAGCAATATCCTTATATTAACCGGACGAACACATGGGGACATATATTTTGTAATGTAAGTGCTTATAGTGGACTCGTATCTTCTAGTTTTGCATCCCCTGTAGTTCAAATAGTTACTTCCCATTTTCCTCTGTTGCTCTCTTAGGACCCATTTTTTAGTGATATCATTTTCATTGCCCATTATAATAAACTTCACTATTGATGGCAGACACCTATCCAAGGATTATGCTCCTTCGGACACTAGAACTCATATAATTCGTTGTCTTAAACAAATCATTAAATCTCAAACCCTTGCCTTCTTTGATTGTTTGCCTATTAGCACCTACCATTGATAGGTCTGGTGACTAAAAGCAATGAAATTCTACTTGAAATTTTATTGGCTTCTCCTCTGAAAAAAAGTAACTTTGTTATGACTTATAATCATTATGTTGTGAGCTGTGACATTTTCATTATGTTAAGACTTCCAATACTATTAGCTTTCCTGCTTAAAATTTACTTTGTTATGACATTATCATTTTACTGTGTTTCTTTACTTAGGTTGGAGATTTGACCGCTGATCAAATGGGGAATCGGTGAACCATTCACCGGCGAATTGAGGTAAAGTCTGGAAAACATGTTAAAAAAAAGTTTACTAGTAATGCTGCAATTGTAGGGTTATTTGAACAGAAACAAACCCATATGTGTAGGCTTATGAATGCCTAGAAACAGGATTGGTGTATCCCCCTCTTTAGTATATGCCTTAAATTTTAAAATGAATCAATTTCATTTGCTCAACCTTCATAATCCGTATGTGTGTATGTGTTACAAACCAATATGTTTGTGTTCACACCAAGCAAGAACGTGTACCGTTTATGGAATTAGATGGAGATAGACATCAATGAGCGATGACATAACGATAAAATGCACCAACCCCATTATCTGTAATATCCCTTTTTTCCTATGAAAAGCCCACACTTGTCATGAAACACGCAATGTTTTGTTGGACTCACTTAACATGTCAACTGTTTTAATGACGTCACCGGTTCCTTACGTGCCGGCGAATATGAATTCTTCCACTGGCGTAAGAACTAACCATGATTTCGAGTTAGGGTGCGCACTTATATCATAACGAAACGTTGACAAGAAGAACAAGTCAAATTTAATCATTTTTTGTTTTGTTTTTTGGTTCTCTACATTTCAAACTTTAGCTGAACTAAAACAAAACCAAGGGTACACAATTTCTGTAACTCGAGGCTCAAAATATTGAATCAAAAACTGATTCATGGTGGTTTTAACTGGTTAAAAAGTTTACTGATGACCGTTTAAATTGAGAGAGTCGAATTATTGAAAAGTTTACTTTTTATCTTTCAAATTGCTTTGCTCAAAAAAAAAAAAAAACTTTCAAATTGCAATATATCTCATGAGATAAATTTTAATTTTGGTAAAGAAACTCTGTTGAAAACGTATTTGTGGTAGAGATAATGATTGTGTGTATAAACACCACTATGAATTGAATCTCATTCAAAAGAATATTATATAATCTGTGACAAGGGGAATATATATCTAGGAAGGTAGGGAACTAGAAATACCATTAAGTGGATCACAACCAAACCAACAACGAAAAGGTTTAATGAATTCTCTATTTCTATTCATACTAGACTTTACAGTATCCTTTTTGTCTTTCTCTTCTCCTAATCGTAGTTACATTATAATAAGAATTTATTTTATTCAAATACAAAAGCTAGGCTGCTGCTAATATCCTATACCACCCATTGTGTTACTCTTATTGACATCACTAAAATTAAGATATACACATTTAAGAGCAACGGTTGCTTAATTACGTGGTGTGTTTATCTTAGTTTGAACATCGACAAACTAAAATATATTGCATGAGATATTTTACTCAATTTATGAATTATAGAAAGTAAAGTTCTATTTTAGTTTGCCTTATTATATCTATGCTGACTATGCAGTGGTAGGTTAATACTTAATAGCAACTTATAAGTATTTTCTTAGATGTTTTTTTTTATTTCACGTTTTATATGGAAACACACGTTTTTTTTCACGTTGGAAACAAAATTCATTGGTAATACAAATGGCTGATCAAACACAAAGATCCTCTAAATGTAGACGTAGGCTTACGGCTTACCGGATCCGAACTCGAACAACATGCTATTGAAGAAACTCTTTCGGGAAAAATGACCAAAACCATGTTTCTGTCCAAATATTGGTTACAACTTGCAAGCCATGTCGTTATGCCATTTTACACAATCTTAATATTACTAAAATGCTAGTAGTGAAAAACAATAAAGACTTAGTGATTCCAAAAGAATAGCACGCTTGGCATATTCTATTGAGCTCATTCATCTAATTCACCAAACAACTATTGTAAACCAATCATCTAATTACTAGTAGGTGTCATGAACTTCTCGTTCTGGAGGCACAACCTATCATTTTTCAAATAAATAATAGACCCAAAAGCTATATACCCCACCATTGTCTATTGCATTACATATTTTGGATATTTCCTCAGTCTCATTTTTCTATGAATAAGTAATTTTATACAAAAATCTACACTAATTTTCAAAACACATAATCAATACAGGATGTTTACAAAGGGTTAGTAGCGAGATTGCATCAACCAAAAAGTAATAGCATAGCTGTATAATCCTATAAAATAGAGTGATAGGAACTGATTTTCAATGTTAAATGCATCTTTTCTCTTTTCACTGGAAATTAGTTTGAAGTTTGGTATGTGTTATATGGAAATGGAGATAATGCATTTATTGAAAACAGGTTACCTCAAAATTCACATACTTAAAAATACTATCATATTGTAAATTCGATTATAACCAAACCAAAACTCCTTAACTAATCTAGATTAATATCAAATAATTAATAAAAGTGCATATAATAGGAATCGCTTTTGCATCTACGGGGTTTGTGCCAACCCTACTGCTATATTGGCAGATGTATGATGCAAACATTTAGTTTAATACATTTGATCTGATCAAATTAAATTAGAAAATCGGGTAATGCAAGTACGCGTTATAGCTAAATATAAATTTGAGTTAGCTTTAAGCTTTTTGCCAAGTGGAAAGAATCAAATAGTGATCAGGCTCGATCAATTGTATAATAAGCATCCTAGCTCCAACTATAAATACCCTATTAAGCTTCTCTTCTATCTTCACATATCTTTGATACCAATTCTATTATTTTCCTATCGTTTGTTAAGAAAAAGAGTTACAATTCATAGTCTTACAATATTTATAGATAAGAACAACAATATGAAGCAATCTCACGTTTTGCTTCTCCTACTTGTTCAAATCATTTTCCTTTTGCCTCTCCTTTGTCTATCCGACGATTTTGTTAACTCTAGAGCTACTTATTATGGCAGCCCCGATTGCAAAGCAAATCCTCGTATGTATTTGAAATAGCTATTTCTATATCTTATGTACCTTAACTTTTTTTCGTTTTCGTAGTATTAGTACTTGTACACATTAAAAGATACATTGGTCCTAATATCTCACTATTAGCCTTAACTAATTAAACTAATTAATTTATGTTTTATCTAAATATATAATTTAAAACGAGTCCATTAAGTGTCCATATTACTGCGTAATTAGCAATGAGATTTTTTCAAGAATCCGTTAGTACTGGATCATAATATGCCTAGAACTTTCTATTATGACAATATCTATAATTTTTGTTGACGAGAGTAAGAAAAATTAATAATTTTTTGACGATGCAGGAGGACATTGTGGGTATGGAGAATTTGGAAGAGATATCAATAACGGTGAAGTGAGTGGTGTTTCATGGCGACTATGGAACAATGGAACTGGCTGTGGTGCTTGTTACCAGGTTTTTATATAGTTTATCTCAATAAACATTTCATCAAATGTTACTATAGTACAGTATATACTATGTCATTATAACTAAACTTATATTATGAATTAATTATAAAAAGGTGAGGTGCAAAATACCTCCTCACTGCAGTGAGGATGGAGTATACGTAGTGGCTACGGACTCCGGAGAAGGAGATGGTACTGACTTCATCTTAAGCCCTAAGGCATACGGACGTATGGCGCGACCCGGCACAGAGAATCAGCTCTACTCCTTCGGTGTAGTCGACGTTGAGTACCAAAGGATCCCTTGCCGATACGCAGGTTATAATCTGGTGTATAAGGTCCATGAGAAAAGCTATAATCCTCATTATCTTGCCATTCTTGTCTTGTACGTTGGTGGTGTCAATGACATCCTCGCCGTTGAAGTCTGGCAGGTAAATTGATCAAAGATTTTTACAAACAAATTTTATGGTTTTTTGAGGATCAAAATAGTTTATTGATAGGACAGGTTTCGTTAAATAACTAGAAACTTAATTATTTATTAGTCTCTAGAAAAAGGGTTTGCTTGTTGATTTTATGAAACAAAGTAAAAAATTAATATATGTGGTATGCAATGCATGTGTATGTATGATTTAGGAGGATTGCAAAGAGTGGAGACGTATGAGAAGAGTGTTTGGAGCGGTTCACGATTTGCAGAATCCACCAAGAGGCACTCTCACCTTGAGGTTCTTAGTCTACGGAAGCGCCGGAATCAATTGGATCCAATCGCCAAACGCTATTCCCGCGGATTGGACCGCCGGAGCCACCTACGACTCCAACATTCTACTTACCTAATTGTTTCACTTTTCATCAGTGTGTTTATCATATACTAGTATTTATTATGGTTTTTCTATGTAATGGCTAATATATTTAAATAATGCCCTCTAGGACAATATAATGATGATAAATAATCGTAGTAGATTCATATAGTTTATGTATTGCGTCTCGTTAAGAAGATTGTAATGATTTGTATGAGTTCGATTTTAATGGAATAAAGCAGTACTAATAAATTTATCAGATGATCAAACTCAAACGTTACATAAGCTTTTTTTTTTTTCCTTACATTTTGGTCAGTCAAACATATTTATATCCCTAAATCAACCATTTTTTCATGAAAACAAATTGACGCGATTTTTTTATACAGAGGCCCATTAGTAGTATTCTTAAGGCCCATTAGAATTTAATTATAAAATAGAAGAATACGCAGATTCTTTGGAGAAACTGGAGAAATCGGTGGCTTAATTCATTTTGGTCATCCTCTTCGATCGATTTCGTCAGTTTTCTTCGATTCTGGGTAATAATAATCGATTGTAGTAGAGCTCTTCGAGAAAAGTGAGAACCTAAACCCTAAATTCAATTCTGTTTTGTTCTCAAACTCAAATCGAAACTTTAATCCTTCCTTATTCGTTTCTGGAGTTCTTCTTTAGTAGTTGTTTTGGATTCGGGGTTTGTGGAGTTCTTCTTTAGTTATCCAGGTTTGCTTCGAGTTGATCGCTGTGTGGCATAAACCCTAATTTCGTAGACATTGTGAAGTCGCGCACTCTTTTAGAACCAGTCCAGTGAGTAAGGGAATCCCAATTGGTGAAGATGCCGCAAGTTAAAATCATAGCCAAAAATTTCATGGACATGGTGGCGTCACTTCCAGCTATCAAGCTTGACAAACTCTACAACAATGTCTTTATCTGCGAAGCCATTCTCAGGTTAATTTATATGATTCGAAGACAAGTAAAAGTCGTTATGAAATGTGTGTTTAGAGGATTTTTTTTTGCTGATCATTTGTTGAATTTGGCAAAATATTGAGGATCTTACATTCTTGAGATGGTATCAGGTCTTTGCCGCCTCTTGCCAAGAAGTATGTATTGCAGATGTTGTACATTAATGTTCCTGTACCTGCTACGATGATGGAGGAGTGGGTTCTCGCAGATGGTGCCTCTAAGCATAGAGTTGCTATTGATCGACTGATTCAATTAAGGATTTTTTCAGAAATTAGTGATAGGTATGCTTCATTCTTGGTTTTTCTTGATGCTGTCATTATTAGACTTATTTCACTTACTTAGATACTTCAGTATATTCACTGTGGAGGGATTTAGTTTCGGAAGTTCATTTGAAGTCGATTTTTGTTAAAGAGTGACGGTGGATGTTAACTTGAGCATGAACATGAACCCTCTGAGCTTCATTTTATACTTGATTATTGTGTTTGGATTGATTTTGGGTGATATGTGGCAAGATGATAGTTCCGATTCTTTTTCCTATAGTTTTTAGGCTGCTCTTCGTACTTTTGCAGGAAAAGGGGAACCAGCTACAGCCTAAATCCTACATTTCAGAACAATCTTCAGAAACATATAATTTCCGGGTAAAGACATCTTTACATTGACGGTACTGTCCTTTTTTGTTTTACTCTTGGTTTTTAAAGAAGATGTTGATGAGCCAAACTTGAATTTTGCAGTGGAGTTTTACCTAGAGAGCCTATGAATTCTGACAATGCCATTAAGCTTCCAAGTCTACAAGAACTCGAGACCTATGCACTTAAGCAATGGGAGGTGTGTGTATTTTCTAATTTTTTTTTATTGGTAATACTAGTAAGATGGAAATAATTGTAAAAGAAATATCTTTCAATATGAATTTGGTTTGTATCTGATGATGTGTACTTATGTTTCTCAGTGTTTCTTGCTACAACTTATAAATTCGGGTCAAGGTGAGAAGCTAACTGGCATCAGTTCATCCATGATGAAAATTTTCCAGCGAGGTTTATTGAGTCAGAGGTAATGTTGTCATACACGTCTATAGATGCATAGTGGTGGCATATAGCCTCCCTATTTAATACACTTCATGTGATATTGCAGAGACAAAGATGGCCCAAGATTAACTGAGAGTGGCTTTCAGTTTTTGGTATGCCAATCGTGAGTCAGTGGTCTCTTATTTACCTGTACTCATGTAACCTGATTGACCTTAATTTGCAGCTGATGGATACAAATGCCCAGCTTTGGTACATTATTCGAGAATACATATCGAATGCTGAGGTTTGTATTATGCCTTAACAAGGTTTTGTTAAATTGATATCTCTATTTTGCTGGATGGATAACCCAATGCCATTGTTGTTCAGGAGCGAGATGTAGAACCAGCAGACTTGATTTCGTTTTTGTTGGAGCTTAGTTTTCATGTTACTGGTGAGGTATAAAAGAACTTCACAGAAAAAGTCATTTCAAGCGTTCGTGTTCTTTTTTCTACTCGTACTTGATTAGCTGAAAGCTGGATAATATTTCGTTGAGCTTACCCATTCTTTACACATTGCAGGCATATAACTCAAATACCTTGACAGAGGTTCAAAATAATACCCTCAAGGACCTTGCAGACTTGGGATTAGTTAAGCTTCAACAGGTTAGACTTAGACCATTTGTAATATCTTATTCATTACCAAAAATAACTTTGCTAACGTTTAAATTAGAGATATTATACAACTGTATCATATGCTGAGCCAGTCTTTATGATTATTAAAGGGAAGGAAAGACAGTTGGTTTATTCCTACTAAACTGGCTACAAATTTATCAGTCAGTCTGGCAGATTCATCAGCTCGAAAAGAGGTCACACCTTTTTTATCCCCTTTTGTCCCATTTCTACCTGCTACCAACAATTTTCTTGATTTTGCGTATCGTTGTTGTTTGTTGTTCCTCATCAGGGATTTGTCGTGATGGAAACAAATTTCAGGATGTATGCGTACTCCACATCTAAGTTACAGTGTGAAATTTTACGACTGTTTGCGAGGTAGAAGCTCCTGAACATCGACCTGAAACTCTAATCTTCTGTGTCTTAAAATCCTTTGGGTCTAAGTAGTTGCTGCTTCATTTTTCCAGGATAGAGTACCAACTTCCAAACCTTATTGCTTGTGCCATTACAAAGGAAAGTTTGTACAATGCATTTGACAATGGCATCACATCAGATCAGGTACAGTTTGTTTCAGTTGAAAAACATTTTGAAGTTATCGAATGCATGATTTTGCTTACACTTGACCGGATCCACACTGTCCTTGAGATGTTGATCAAATTGTTGATCCGTCTCTTAATAGTTTCTGAATAAATATTTTTTCCTTTTCTTTTGATTGTCACAGATTATAACTTTCCTCCAGCAGAATTCTCATCCACGATGTGCTGATCGAGTCCCATCTATTCCAGAAAATGTCACTGATCAGGTTTATACTCTCTCTACCCATCAAGTGTCGATTATACAAAAATGTGTTTAGGATTAGTTTATAGAATCAAAAGTGTATACTATCTCTACTTCCTGATTCATCAGGCTTATGCTGAATAAAAATGTATTGTTATGGCAGATTCGGCTTTGGGAGACGGATCTGAAGAGAATTGAGATGACGCAGGCTCACTTCTATGATGAATTTCCTTCAAAAGTAACAAACCTGAATCCTCTTATTATTTTGTTTTCTCCTTATGGCAAAACCGTTATAGTAAATCTAAGTAACCAAAATCATGTTGGCAGGATGTGTTTGAGGCAGCTTGTGACTTTGCTCGAGAATGGGGAGGCCTTCTTTGGGAAGACTCTAAGAGAATGCGACTTGTTGTGAAATCCGAAGTTCACAATCAGATGCGTGAGTTTCTTCATACCCAAAGCAAGTGACAAGAAGAAACTCACATTTTCTTCTCGTGTTAAAACAAAATATCATGCTTTGACTCTACAAACTATATCTTTCGTGAGGTTTCAGCAGAAGAGAAAGAAGAGTAGCGATTTGATGTCTTGTAACTCTATTAGTTACCATAGTTCTTATCCTGCTAACACATGCGCACCACAAACAGCTCCAGTCCGGGTAGAAAAACATGGGTAGTGTCAAACTACAAGCTTTCTTGTCGAAAACCCTGATGTATATAGAGTTATAGACTATTTGTCGGAGGACATTACGGAAGTTGAAACCTTTAGTTGTTAGACCCATAAATCATAGTAAACTTATTAGGCAATTGTACCTTCTTCTAAATATGCTCCGGTTAAGTTTGAAACAACTTATATTGACAAAACTTGGTCGTTCGGGGATTAGTCCAACCAGGGTCACCTCTATAAGTTCTTGCACGCTAGACAGACCACAATCTCGGTCTTGTTTCTATTCAGTCGACCAAATTTCAAATTATTAAAAACCCAGCAAATGCGAGGCTACAATCTCAGCTTTATCAACTAAGAGAATCTGAAACCTTGGATGTATTCAGAGACTCTGTATCTATTCTGTGTCGCCATGAAGACAAGTTCCTTCTTCATTTTGCTTGAGCTTTTTCGTTGGCTGAGGATTCCGAATCTTGGATCTTATCTCCCGTGTTTGCCTCTGCGGTCACATGTGCATTTCCACGTGCTCGAGCGAGTCTCTCAGCTTCTTCAATCTTTCTTATAGCTTCCTGTTGTGTTGCGTTCATCATTGTCCCCATCGTTTTCTTCTCTCCTTCGAGCTGAATCTCCATTATGGTACTAGCATGCTTGTCTATCGGTTTGAAGTAGTCTTCAATTTGAGCCTCCTGTATTAGTAAAGACCCAAAACAAACTTAGAAATGAAATTCTCCTAACACAGACAAAAGTAGAACAAAAGATGAAAGCTTTCGGATTTATGAAACACAGACTCTGGTGACTGGTTTCGCTCTTTTCTTCCAAAAAATAACATGCTTTCAAATATCTTAGAAGCCAAGAAACTAAAAGTGTTTTCCCTTTTATGAATGCTTTGGAACCAAAAGCAGTTAAAGGAAACAATATCTCAAACATTTTCACCAAGTGGTAAACTCAACCATTGCAAGCTTTGGACTGAGGATAAAGACAAAAGACTAACCGTATTCTCAATCTGCTTATTCAAATTCTGCATCTCCTCAACCATACGGCGGACTTCAGATAATACAATCTGCTCTGGGAGTCTGTTTATCTCTGCTTTCCTTTGGTTAGCCTGCAAGACCATAGGTTTGAATCAAATAAAAAGGTAACCATGACCAACCCAAGATAGACGCTAGAAGTCTGTTAAGCAGATAAAATACAGAAGTCTAGACGATTAGGAAACTATGATGTAAGGAAGATCTTATTTCATCAGTCTTCAAAAGGTCCTGACAGTAAGTCATAGCCTTGTATAGTTTACAGATATTATTCAATTATCATAAACTAGAAGTACACATTGAAGTGAATATCCTGCATACATAAACTTTCCATTAACAATGAATAAAAAACATGGGTAATGTTTATAGACAGACATAAAAGTTTCTTAAATTCCTCATCCTCACAATCAAATAGTCAAGGGTTATTCAAATTTATGCGATCAACTATAGTCCAAAAGTAGGGTTTTATCATCATCTTATTCTACCATTAATGCTAAGAAAATAGATTGAGGCATGTTGAAAAAGAAAGAAAAATAAAACCTGCTGGATACGCTTTTCGAGTTGCAACCTATAATTCCGGATTCTCCTCTCTTCATAGCCAGAGAGAACTCTCACATAGAACATAGCTTTTCTCCCATACTCCAACAGCTTGTTCATCTTTCCTGCAAGACACCAAGCAAACATTCAATGAAGAACAAAATCAATTAGTTTAATGGATTCTGCTGATTTGACATTATCACAGTCAAAAGATGAAATGTGTGATGTTGTTAAACAAACATTAGTATCCTCAAACTTAAAAGCTGAGAGAAATCGAAGAAGTAATCCGAACTAAAGATGTCTCCTTCGTCTAAAATCGAACTACAGATCTAAAGATCAAAAGCTGGAACATTCGCATCGACGACTACGAAATGAACGAAATCGTAGAGGTCCACGCCTAGAAAATCAGTTCAGAGGGAATCTAAAAGAAAATTCAAAGTGGAAATTATGCAACAAACCTCAACTAGGTAACTAATTACCGATCGACAGAGACGTACTCGCTGGAAATCGGAAACGGCGAAAAACGGGAACGCGCAAAATGAGATAACTCAAAAGACCTGACTCTGCAGAGTAACAAGCGAGAGATGAAGCCGCAACGAAGAACAACGATTTGGATTCACTAAGAACTCCGGCCGAAATATCGTTACTACAATATACTGGGAAACTCCGGCACCGGCGGTAAGATAACACCGTCACCGATCGCTCGCTTGACTTGAAGATTATACCCATTGCTTCTGTCTCGTTCCTATAGTGGGCTTAAGTGGGCCTTTAAAATTTGTGGTGGGCCTTTTTCAGAACTTGGCTTAGTGGGCTCAAAAACGCTAGCTTTTCCAGTCACATGTATAGGTAGCCGTTGTTAGATTCTCGAGAGTCTCACAAGTCACAAGTAGCCGTTTAAATAAATTCCTTTGATCAATTCCGTTGTTTGTTTGTTGCGTCAAATTGAACATTATTACTAGGCTCCAAACTCTTTAATTAAACTAATTATTTTGATTATAAATAACGATTTTACATTGAATATTTAAACGCTTACATTTTTAAAAAAATGTCATGCATTGTCCAATTTTTTTTACTTTCATCAGTTAAATTAAATACGGATTTTGAATCTGTCGAAGCAAACAAAGCAAGAATGATTTGCCTGCATTGGCGTTAGAGACAGACAGAAATAGAAGTTTTTATAAAATTTGGTTTGGTTCTGTGGAGATGCCGGTTTAAAAGAACCGGTCTAACTTCGTCTTTATCCTCTTTCTTTCCTCAGATTTACTTTACTCAGGATGAAAAAGATGCGTTGGAGCTCAAAATTAATCAAACTTTCGTGACGAAATTAACCCTGGCAGGAGACCATTATTACAATCCTTTCCACTTAACGGCTAGTTTTGGTGAATGTTCCTTCATCTTGTCTGAGCTAGACACACGCACCAAATTAGACACTACCCTCTCTCTCTCTTTCTCTCTGTTCCTCTCTTTTCTCTCTGCGAATCTCTAATTTTCTGATAATTTTGAGTGTAAAATGGAGGCATTCGAGCATTTGATAGTGGACGAGTTTAACGAAGAAGACTTCTACGAGACGATAGAAGCCCCGAAGTTTGTAGACCTCACCGCACCAGATCATCGCCCTGAAGGAGATGATCGTTACTGGTTCTGTTCCAGAGTTGGTCAGAACTCTCTCTTTACATTTTAACTTTTTACTTTTGAAATTCAAATCAAGAATTAGTAATACCATTAGGTTCCAGAGATCTGGGAAATTTGATTTTTAGATTTTCTGAAAATTGCTAAATTAGGGTTTTAGTGAACAGATTTTTTTAGGTTTGACTTAAATTAGTTTGTGTTTTGATCCTTTTTGGTTTCTTGGTGATAATGTGTACTTAGGATGTGATCAGAAGCATGAAGAGTTCATGGATTCGGAAGCTATTTACAAAAAATTCGTTCTTCGGGTTAGCTTAAAGATCCAAACTTTTTTTTCTTCTATTCCTCGATTTGATTTCGTTTTAAGAGTATCGTTAACATAAGACTTTGATGTTAATCAATATTAATAGGTCATGGCAGCTAGGAGTCCAAGTGTTCGTCTTCGGAAAGCTCTTTATAGAAAGGATTTCAGGTAATGGAACTCAAATTATATGAGAAATGTGTGTTTGAGCTTCGAGAGAGATCAATCACTGTAATGTGTGTTTAACATTGCATTGTGCTACATACGTTTGTCATTGCAGTGTTGATCCTAAATGTCCCAATACCGTTCCTGCAAAGCCCTCGAGATCACGGGTGTCTAGATTGGCTATGATCTCATCAATTCCTCAGAAGGGTAATGCTAATATCAGGTCAAAAGAAGTTAAAGTAGTTTCCACAAATAAGAATGTGACTCCAAAGGCAAAGGCAAAAGGAAAGGAGTCATCAGTGATCTCATCAGTTCCTAAGAAGGCATTAACTGAGAGGAAGAAGCAAATTCAGAGTCCAGCAGCTTTTAGGAGTGTACAGAATCCGAGAAATGCAACAGTCAAGGTGTCTGAAAACAGAGTTGTTGCAAAGGCTTTGGTGTTTCAATCTCCAAAAAAGTTGGTGAAACTGAAGAGATCTGTGGAGCTTAGTTCTTCGGTGAAGAAGTTGTGTAATGGGATGAGGAAGCTTGAGATTGATAACAAAAGAAATGGTTTAGGGGTTAATCATAAGGTTGTGAGTTCAGCGCCATCTAGAAGGCCGCTAAAAACACGAGAGGTGAAGAGCCGAGTGTTTGATTCTGTGCGATCACAGAAACGGATTGATGAAAAAGCCAAAGGTACTGGTATTTTGAAAAAGAAGGTCAAGAAAATGGAGAAATTGGAAGAGCCTGCACTTTGCTCTGGTCCTTCCAAAGCTCATGAATCTAATGGCATAGAAGTTGAGGGTAAAACTAGTGGAGATGAAGAGCTCATGGTCGAAAACAAATCTGAAGAATTGTCAGACACATTGAAGGCTAACATAAACAATCAGCTCCAGGACAGAGAAGATCCTGCTGTAATAAAGGAGAGTGGACTAGCTACATCAAAGCAATATCAAATTGCAGAGATGGAAGAAAAGGAAAATGCATTAGCTTTGGAGTGTGAGGACAAAGAGAATGTTACTCTTGCAGCGGCTGTCGATAAAGAAGATATTTCTGTAATAAAGGTGAGTGGACTGGATAAGGCAAAGCAATGTGAGACTGTGGAGATTGAAGACAAGGAAAATGCATTACCATTGGAGTGTGAGAACAAAGAAAATGCTACTAATGTAACGGATGTCGATAGAGAAGGCGATGATAAGGAAAATTCTTCAGCCTTGGACAATAACAGGTGTGGAATATGTTGTTTATTTGCTTTAATTTGGTTCCTTTTTGCACATTCAGCTTACAAATATACTTGTTTTGTGTGAATCTTGCAGAAAAGTCGACCAAGCCACCTATCCTCGGTTGAAAAAGAAAGTTTTTGGCAAGAAAGAAATTTGTAAAACTACTCAAAAGGTCTGTTATATAGCCTGTGTACTTGCTAATTGGGCTCTACTTATCATCTTCTGTGTATTTATATGTATTTGTATGAACCAGGTTATGACAGTAGCAGACAAGTGTTTCAATGGCAAGACTGTTTCAGCTGATACCCGTGTCAAGTATACAAAACCTAAGCTCACGAATCCAAAGCCTTTTCGACTTAGAACCGATGTATGATGTGCAATAATACAACCCACCAAAGCTGCTTTTTCTCTAATACGCAACTCTTATGTTTCTGATGGGAGGAAATTTACATTTTTATAGGAAAGAGGAATTCTTAAGGAAGCAAATACAGAGAAGAAACCACAATGTACTATTGCCAAAGAAGAAACTGCAAGCACTCTTGGGTTCCATGGTGAAAACTTGGGTCCAAAACATCAGCAAGTTCGAGTAAGTTCTTTCTGTAGAATATTGATAAATGTTCATCGTGTAAGTGTTTATTTTTCTGATATAGTAATCTCATATGCAGTTGGAGAAGAACGCAACTTCCCGGTTAAAAGCTTCAAAAGGAACATCCACAAAACTTGTCTCTGAAAATATGGTGGATTGCAAAAGGTAAAAACTGCAGAAGACAAAGTGTAATCTCTCACTTGAAAGAACCGGGCAAACGAATTTTGACTTGTCATAGCAGTTGCCTCCTCTTGGCATGTAATCTGAAAATTTTGTGCATTTTCTCAGGGTTGCATTAGGTAGAAAGAAGCAAGTGGCAAGGAAAAGAATCAAAACCGCGGAGCAAGCCTCGCAGATGAATGGAGAATCTAAAGAAGTTGCAATCATCAACAAACCTTCTGTTTGTGTTGTTGCTTCAGGGGAGAAAAGACCTGTAACTGTCCCAAAGGGACCAAACTTCCATTGTATTCATGTCCCTAAGAGCTGTACAAAGAGAGTGGCATGACAAGTCTAAGATCGGCTTTAAAATATATCTGCAGTTTGATTCACACGAGTCTTGTAAGTTTGGTTGATCTTTGCGATTTAACAGAAGTGAGATTTTTTTGGTGTGTATAAAAACACTTGCTCAGTTTCCAGATTGATCAATACAAAAATTGTTTGAATTAACGGAATCGTGGTTGTATGAAATGATGAAGCGTTTATCCAAATCAAATTCTCAAATTAACTGTGTTTCAAGAGTCATATATAAAAAAAAAAACCAGGTACTAAATGATCAAATGTTTAATGACTTAATGTATTGATGCCATGAAATACAAATAAAAGACTTGCACTAAATGCAATTATTAAACAGATTTCGACAATTTCGGGCTAACCCGACCAGACTTAGCCAAACAGACAAGCTAATTAGGCTCAAGTATATAGCTGAAGTCCTGCTTTTTTAAGGGCCAGGCCGGGCTTCAGTTTGGTCTTAATTGACAAATGACACGTCTATCATCAAACCTACCATCAAATGATTTATCTATGCCACATATATTGTGCTCCTCGTACACTTTTATCCAATTTTCCGACCACCAAACTTTTGCTTGTTGCGCCACTCTTCGGCTACAAATAATCACTCATTGTTAAATTGACTAATATATGAATCCTAGATCACTAGTGAAGATTATGTAAACTACGATTCAAAAAGAAAGGGTAGTATCCAAAAAATATTGAGTAGTACGTAAGAATATATTTCACATTACCTGAACTCCAAATGTTTGAGAACTATAATTCCGCCACTGAGCCTGCTAAGTGTTAGATACACGCCTTCTCCACACTCGATCTTTTTCTCCTCCACTTGAGCAGCACTCACTATAGATTTTGGGCCCTGAAAATCAAAAGAGAAGCCACTACCGGTTCGAATCCACTCATGCACAATTTTGTCTTTCTTTAGGCTTGCATCCAATTTTCTTTGAGGCTGGGTATTTGAACATTTTCCATCCGTTAAACCTGCAGGCATATGTGCTTGAGGGATTTATCAGCAAGAATTGTAAGTCCAGATAACAATATCTCCATGCAAGTTTTCAATATCACTTCCCTTACCATTCGGCAAATACGCATCGTAATTTTTGAAAAGCGTCTCACTCACAGGTTCATATCTCCTATTGCTTGCGTCCATGTTTATTTGAAGCTCAGAATTTGAACTTTGTCCATACGTTGAACCTGTAGGCATAGACGTTAAGAATGAAAAAGATAGTTATCCACATGCAATGTACGCTACAAAGATTGGTTTCTGCATCTGGATACTGGATTTTGGTAGTTTGTTGGTTTTATAATGATATTTGAATGAGATGATCTAGTACTAATTTATTTTTCTACATCTAAATTTGAAAATTAAATTTTTCAAGAAGAACAAATATTAAAAGCATATATATAGAAAATATAGAATATTTGAGTTATTAATTTTGGCGTCAAAGCCTGATTCTAAATTTTTCAACCAAAACAAAATTCCACATTATCAAAATTTCAAAAAAAAAAGAAAGAAAATTCCACATGTTTGACGCTAAATAGAAGTTTCACAGTTTTTGCATCAAAAATATAATTCTGCTTTTTGGCGTCAAAATTTTCGCACCAAGACAAGATTCCGTAATTTGGGCATAAAATCATAATCTCTCGAATTTGATGCAAATCTATTTTATTTTAGTTCTGTGATGAATAAACTAGGTCACAGGCTTTGGAGCAAAAAAAAAAAAATCAATATTTTGCTACCTTGTTTTCGAATTTTTTTTTAAAAGACCACATTTTCAAGTTTTTGTTGTCAAAAATACTAGTATACTACTATTAGTTTATTGTTCCAAAAATACTACCATAAGTTTTGGTTTCTTAAAAATACAACAAACACAAAAATGATCTTGAAGTGTTTAAAATTTAAAAGCTGTTGACAAAAAAAAGAGTTTAAAATTTAAATTTATAGGTTTTGGTTGAAGATTTTAGATTTAGGGTATAGTTTGTAGGGAGTTTGGTTTAGTGTTTAGGGTTTACTTTTAAAAGTTGAAAGTTACATTTTAGTTTTGTTTTATTTTTGGAAAACCAAAATTGAATTATGGTATTTTTGAGAATTGTCCTAAGTTTTGTAAAGGTTTTTTTTTTTTGTTTTTGATTTGTCAAGTTTCATTGCGAAACATACATCGAAACTCTACATTTTTACGCAACCAAATATCTATATTTTTCATACAATTAGGTTGACATCTAAATGTATCATGTATATCAGTATATGCCAATACCAAGTTGGACAAGCGAAGAATGTTTGGTGAATGTATACAGATGATGCATCTGATCACGAAAACAAATGAGAACTTCTCATCTATGATTCTAAGTCCAAAAATCTTAACACTTTTTGAAATGATCAAATTCAATAAACACACAATACCTTGATCTTTGCCGTCTAACCCACCGTCACAAACTTTCTTACCACCACCATCAGTTGAGCTATCTATGCCACATATATTGTACTTCTTGTACACTCTTTCACAATTCTCGTACCACCATATTTTTGCTTCTTGCGCCACGCTTCGACTGTAAACAACCACTTATTGTTAGATTGATTGATATAAATCCTAGATTATTACTTATGATCCCAACAGATTACTATGCAAAAAGAAAGGGTAACATTGTATAAGCTTAGATCCCACATTACTTGTAGCTCAAATGTTTGAGAAATGTCGTTCCGTCACTGCAGATATTAAGTAATATAGACACGCCTAGTGCCAAGTGGATCCACTCTGCCTTCACTTGGGAAACACTTGAGCTTGCGCCCATGTTTCTTTGAGACTGGGAATTTAAACCTGCATGCATATGTGTTTGAGGGAATTATCAACAATAATGGTAATTTCAGTGTTAACACTATCTCCATACAAAATTTTAATATTGATTTCCTCACCATTGGTTAAACACGCAATGTAACCTTGACCTTTGCCATCTAACCCATCATAGCTGATTTTTAGTTTATTCTCATTACAGAGTACCGATAGAATCTTCGCCCACTCTTCCTTGTCCGATATCCTTCTAAAAGACGAGCCAAAGTGCTTCAGAGCTTTAGGACGATTACCGGCAAGCTTTGCAGCTTCAAATGCAAGCTCGCTGAAACCATGAGGTGGGGAGTTTTTCCCAAAAGCATATCGACAAAACATTTGATGAGCCATTTCTTCTGATGGGAATTCCACTTCATAAACATGTGCAATCTTGTGAGCTTTGAGAAGTTCCCTTTTTTTAGTAATCACAACAATTTTGCTCTCAGATCCAAACCATCTGATTCGTCCTACCAACGTTTTTAGTAGCTCAATATCATCGACATCATCAAGAACAATAAGAACTTTCTTGTGCTTTAGTCGTTGTTCCACCACACCACATTCCTCTATCTTTATATCCTTTTGACAAAAAATTTCTGATAGAAATTGTTCTTCCCAATACAACTTCTGGTCATAATCGCTTTGCATTGTTCTCTTATATGCTACGAAAGCCCGATGGTGGAAGTGGCTTTTGATTTTGCTGTAGAGAGCTCTTCCTATGGTAGTCTTACCAGTTTCGGAAGGCCCACAAATCCCTATCATTCGCGCTTTCTCGGAGTCGAAGCGCAACATTGATATCAATGTCTCTATATGAGCTCCAATCCCGACGAAGTCACTGAAATTATCTGATGGGGTAATAAGTTTGTTTAAAACATCTTTGGCAATGTTTTCAAGCATTTCTGCTTCGCTACGCCTACATAACAATAACAACAGTCAACTGTTATCAATGAACATCCCTAAAAGCATATAGAATCGGAGTCTATCCAACGGAACTAATTCTGATATATATAAACTAAAAAAAAAAAACCAAAGTTGTGTTGGGCTAGTGGTAAATCTCTCAGGTGGAGGTACTGGGTTCGACCCTCATTGGAAGGGATATCTTCTCCGAAGGAGATGAATTTAACCTGGTGTGGATCCCGCCTCTGGAAGATGTAGGGCTTTTGGGCTTGAACTTACAAATATTCAAAAAAAAAGAACTTAAAAAAAAAAAAAAATTAAAAACATACCAATTCCGAAGATCTTCTCCGGCTAGATTTGCTACCTCTGCTAGAGCTCGCATCCATTTTCGCTTCTCATTCTCTGTTCTGCCCTTGCAGGTCTCTACAAAGACCTTGCCAAACTCTCCGGTCTGTTTTCTAACATGAGAAGGATCTACGTTGTAGAAAATAGGAATCACCATTTGATCCAACTGCTCATGGCACTCTTGGATCTTCACCAATTCATCTAAGCACCACGTGGAAGAAGCATAGTTCTTAGAGAAGACGACAAGTGAGATCCTAGACCCTTCTATCGCCAATAAAAGCTCTGGGTTTATTTTGCGGCTTCTTTCGATCCTGGTGTCGTTGAATGTATTGACTAATTTGCCATCAAGTTCTTTACGAAGATGGCTGATTAATGATTGGCGGACATCTTCCCCTCTGAAGTTTGGGAAAACATCGTATCTCCAGGAACGAGAAGAAGAAGAAGAAGACTTCATGGAAAACTATAGAAAGAAGAGAGAAACATTCTCAAGGGAAAGCATTCTGAAGTTTATACAGAAATGGAAGAGATGAAGAAGACGTAAGAGAAGACTTTTTTGAGAAGGATACTTCAAGGTTGATTCCACTCAAAGCCAAGTTGAGCAAAGATTTCTCATCCTATTAGGGTCAGGGGCACATCCTACAGCAAATAAGGCCAAATCCTATTCCTCTATACGTCAACGGCTCATCAACACCACGCAAAAAAACAGTAAGGCATAATTATGACATTTACTTTCAAATTTTTGTATTTGTGGCACTTTTTAAAAATATTGTCCAGTTATCACTATTGATGACATTATTCACCCATGGATTATAATTAAAACCTCCATTGATCTGCTGACCTGCGTTTATAGCAATAGAGATTAAATTTTCTTGGGATTCAAGCAAGCAGCAAATGCTATAGCAAGGAAGAAGAAAAAACAAGATGGTCTCCTCCTCACCGGGAAGCAAATGTTGTAAGACATTAACAAAAAATACCTGGAATCTTTTTGGAAATCTAAGGGAACTTTTCAACCGTAAGCATTTCCTTAGATTTGGGTCCTTGAGAGATTCCAAGTTAACGTCAGCAGCTGGAAGAAAACAAGATGGTGACGCTAACTTCTTCAATTCATAATTTCAATAAATGAACTGAGAAATTTACTGATGGTGGCGGTGTACGGAGCAGCAACGAAGCATGTGAATTAGTGCTCTATTGCGGTTTATACATTGTCACCATTCAGAGTATAAATAACATTGTTAGATATACTAAGAAATAAAACGTAAATGTAGTAGTAGAGTTCCTTCCTACAACTTCTCAAGCTTACTATACTCCATCATAAAGTTAGACAGATAGTCATTCCAAAGTAGCAGTTTGAGCTACCGGGTAACTAAACGAGGTCGAGGTCCTGGGCTAGATACACGTTTCCTTTACTAGTCCCGTTGATAACTTTTAGAAATTGGAGACTAGGCATCCCTTTCCATCTAAAAACTATGGTTCGTTGATTTCTGATGTGTTAAAAGTTAAAACTCATGCCTAGTACATTTCTATGGTTTACAGAGAATTTAGTGCAAAAGAATCCATGCTAAATATACATGATATTGTTTTAAAAACATATGCAATAAATAATCCAATTTTATGTACGATTCTGTCATCGGTCGTTTTTACAAATGAACATATATTTACGGCAATTACTTTAGAAAGCTTAGGCATCTTCCTTTAAAATAATAAATCATCAACATGACTTGAAAAAAGAAAATGCAGATACTAACAATGCAGATATATATATACTACAGAAAACAAGGTGATATCCTACCAATTTTCCTAAGATTTTTTTTTTTACATAATGTATATGTATAATATTTTCTATATAGTTCTTTTTAAACGTATGATTTCTGTTATTACTAATACACATTGGAAAATATATTCTCAAATATAGTTTTTCCCAAATATTCTCTTAAAATCATAAAATGGTAGGGGCAATTGAGAAAGACAGTCATGTGAACGTTACTTTCTTTTTAGCTGTCCTCTTGGGTCGGGCATATCTATATTCCCTACCATTTATTCACTATACCCACCCTCCTTCATATTCTTCCATTCTCAAATTCAACAGTTTTGGAATTTTCTCACTTTTCTTGAAATTTAAATCTTATTCATGTATTCTAAATAACCTCTAGAAAAATAAAATGAAAAGATAAAATAAATGTTATATATAGGAAAATTTTTTAGAACATTCAAATGACAGCTTGCAAATTTAGCTTTTTCTTTGGTTTGTCTCTTTTGATTCTTAGGAAGAACATATTTAAAAGATTTATGAAAATAACATTTCTGAATTAACGTATTTTTTGTTAAAAGGAATTACGCATTGCCTTCTTTTTTTTTCTTTTTCTTTTTTCTTGTGACTATATACATCGATATCATCGACTAACAACGAGAGGTATTGATCATATTGTGGTATCTCCTTGCAAGTTGTAACCATATTTATATCCTACTACGAATGCAATGTTTAATAGATAAGAAGAAATTTACATCACATACAAAGTCTCTCTTCAACTAGAGTCAACGATAAACTTATTAAGCACATAATGCAAACAAATGTTTGAATCGTACATCAAACACAAACTCAAATATAATAAAATGATGAACACTAATAATTTGAGAAAAAAAAAATGAAAGTAAATTACAAGAAAACGAGGCTGACCAATTCAATAATCAACTCAAACGAGGAGAAAATGAGCTGCAATAACTCCAACAACGCATGAAAGTGCTACGACGTTGTTTCTAACATTGAAAGCTCCCGAATCCGGCGAAGCCGCCATTGCCGGTGGCATGGGTCCCGGAGAAGGTGTAGGTTCCATTCCGGATGGCATCGGCGGCGAAGGCATATCCGGAACTGTTAATGGGCTTGGGCTTGTAGAGGGAGTCATTGGCATCATAGGTGGTGAAGCCATGGGCATTGGTGGTGGAGCCATAGGCATAGGTGGTGGAGTCATGGGCATGGGTGGTGGAGTCATAGGCATAGGTGGTGGAGTCATCATTGGCATCGGAGACATCGTCGGGGGCATGGACATTGAGCCAGAAGGAGCCATCATGGGAGCTTGAGCTAAGGAGAAAGGAATTAAAACCATAGACAATGTGAGCAAGAAGAAGGCTTGTGAAGAAGAAGAAGAGGCCATGGCTATGTGTGTTTGTAAGTGAAATAGTGGTTTATGTAAAGTGATATATAGAGAGGGATATGTGAGAGAGTAGTAAAAGAAAGAGTTGGAGAGAAAAGTGAAGGTTCTTTGTGCTATTTGGATATATATATTAGAGATTATTTGTTTTATAATTTTGGATCGTTGGATACATTGTGTGACACGTATCAGTCGATAGATAGGTATGAGATGCTGATTTATTTTCGAACAATTCTTGAGTTCACCCCTAGGGGTGAACCCAATTCATTCACCCCTTTTTAATCACCAATCAAAATTTGACATGTCATCTAACTAAAACAATTTATATTATCTAAACAAAATAATTAAACTAAATAATTAAAAACTCAAAATTAAACTCAAAATAATTAAACTCAAAATAATTAAACTAAATCACCTACTACTCTCTCTCCCACGTCTCTTTCTTTTGTTTTTTTTTCTTTTTTTCAAATATTGTTTTTCTTCAACTTTAATAAAAAAATGTAAAAAAAATAATTTAACCAAAATAATTAATAGTAAAGCTTTAGCATTTCCATATGTTTTTTGTCTTTGTATTCAAAATGATCGAGCTTTACAATAAATCTCCGTAACTTTTGTCGAATTCCTACAAAATATAAGATTTCAAATCATGAAAAATTTGATTGTAAAGTCAAATATAAATAGTAAGAGTAAATTATTTACCTGAAACACTTGTGAAGAAAAAGACCCCGTCTGTAAACTCGGACTGCTTGTAGCTACAGATAAATGGATATCGGAAGCAAAAGTTGAATCCTGAAGCATTTATCGATTTTATCTTGTAATTAATATACATACATCTATTGACGAAGTCACCGAAAAGTCAAATATAAATAGTAAGAATGAATATTTTACTTGTAGCACTTGTGAGGAAAATGGCTCTGTCTGTAATGTCGGATTGCTGGTAGCAAAAGTTGAATCATGAAGCATTTATCAATTTTATCTTGTAATTAATATATATATATATATATATATATATATATATATATATATATATATATATATTGACGAAGTCACGTTTTGCTGGAAATTGGACATAAACGAAAAAAGAAGAATTATTTATCGAATATCATCTTTTTCTTCTTCGAATTCACTTACTGAAGCTTCGTCTTCACTTACTGAATCATATTTTTCCTCATCACTACTTTCCATTGCAATCTGCACTAATCAATATATTAATATATATATTTCTATTATGTTGTATAAATCTTGCCAATAAAAAAAAAAAAATAGCACGGTACGATCTTACGACAAAAAAAAAATATGAGGAAGAAGAACAATTCTTTATGTGGTGCAAGAAAAAAAAAATTGACAATTGAAAACTAAGTTAACAAAAAATAGAATACAAATAAAACTATACCAAACAAAAAGAATAATTCACGTACTAACATGCTTTCAAAACACAAACAACGTCCTACTTATATGATATTCAATACATGAATCAAGTAGATAGAAAATCTTCAATTGACTAGTTTTTAAATTAAGAAACTTTGATGTAAATATAAAAATTGTTTTGACTTACGTTTAAATTGTGTAGAAACGTGAAACTCTTTCCTTTGATAAAACTAATCTCTTTTGATGATATGTGAGAAGAAGAATAGAAAAAACTTATGAATAAGGTTAGGGTTAATGACTTTATATAACATTTAGAATTAGGGTTTTTTATTGACTTATTAAGTTTTTTTTTTCCTATTAGATTTAGGAGTGTTACGTGAATGAGAGAGTTAGTGGCCCCACAATTAATTTAATTTTAATTTTTAATGATTAAATCTGATGAAACTAAATTATTTTTTTTACATTTTTTATTAAAGTTGAAGAAAAACAATATTTGAAAAAAAAAAAAAAAAAGAGAGAGACGTGGGAGAGAGAGTAGTAGGGCCTACAATTAATTTAATTTTGAGTTTTTAATGATTTAGTTTAATTATTTTGTTTAGATAATATTAATTGTTTTAGTTAGATGACATGTCAAAATTTGATTGGTAATTTAAAAGGGGGTGAATGAATTGGGTTCACCCCTAGGGGTGAACCCAAGAATTGTTCTTTATTTTCCTCCGCATATTGTAAACAAAAAAAAAGTTGAAAAATTCCAAAGTGAAATCTCTTTGTAAGTACAGAGAGAATAGTCAATATATATATATAGAAATGGGGGCTATTATGATTACAATGCCTTTTATATGAACCATACTTAGGTTTACCCCTGAGGTGAACCTTTAAATTCACCCAACAGATTATAGCCAATCGTTTTGCCATGTCATTATTAATACTAGAGAATTAAAATAAAAAGAAACACAATTAAAAAAAAAAGAAATCACAAAATAGATTTAGGGTTTAAGGTTTAGGGTTTAGGGTTTAGGGTTTAGGGTTTAGATTTTACAATTAAAACGAAATTAGATGTCGGTTTGGGTTGCCAAATGAGTGGTTAGGGTTTAGATTTTATAATTAAAACTAAATTAGATATCGGTTAGGGTTTAGGGTTTAGGGTTTAGGGTTTAGGGTTTAGATTTTACAATTAAAACGAAATTAGATGTCGGTTTGGGTTGCCAAATGAGTGGTTAGGGTTTAGATTTTATAATTAAAACGAAATTAGATATCGGTTTGGGTTGACAAATGAGTGGTTAGGGTTTAAATTTTACAATTAAAACGAAATCATATATCTGTTCACCGTTGGGTTTAGGGTTTAGGGTTTAGGGTTTATGGTTTAGGATTTGGGTTTAGGGTTTAGGGTTTATATAACAAATATTTCACAAACCTAAACAGATATATAATTTCGTTTTAATTGTAAAATTTAAACCCTAACCACTCATTTGTCAACCCAAACCGATATCTAATTTCGTTTTAATTATAAAATCTAAACCCTAAACCCTAAACCCTAAACCCTAAACCCTAAACCCTAAATCTATTTTCTGATTTCCTTTTTTTTTAATTGTGTTTTTTTTTTAATTCTCTAGTATTAGTAATGACATGGCAAAACGATTGGCTATAATCTGTTGGGTGAATTTAAAGGTTCACCCCAAGGGTAAACCTAAGTATGGTTCCTTTTATATTTATTCTTTATATTTCTTTTATAGACATAGTGGAAAGATCAATCGGATTGACAGCTTGGTTTTAAAGGGGCCATATCAAATTTATTAGAACAGGTCATTACTGATGTTAGCCATTGATATGCTAGAGCAATGTTCATTTTGTTTATTTGATAATTTAACAGAAAATTATAACCATATCAAGATATTCTATAATATTATTAGGAAAAGACAAAATTTACATAGGAAAAGATAAAAGAGCATAATGCTATGTTACAAAACAAAAAACGAAAAACAAAAGGGACCATTTGTGTTGTATTTAGTCACACAGCCTAATTTAGCTCCACGGCCAATATTATGTCCGCACCCACTAACCGACATTTTGGTTACCCCATACCCTTTTCTTTGTCTCTCACGAGCACTCTTTGGACCTCATTTACTCTTTATCCATCTTTACATTATACCATTCATGATCCATCCATCCATCCATACATATATTCACGCATATATATTTTATAAGATTGTTTTCATTTGAGGTCGACTAGGATTGTTGTTTTATATAACCACAAACACCAGCTTTCTCTCTTTGTATGTTGTAAACTGAATGGGTTTGTTCGAATTGCAACAAGTTTGATCCTCTTGAATAATTGCACTGTTCTAAATATTACCTACAAGACTATAACCAATTGACGATAGTTTAGCGGTTGAAAGGTCGATTCTGTTAGTTCTAAATGTAAGTTTTGAATCTTTTCACTATAACTTCAATGCTGGCCACCACAAAAACATTAAACAACAAGATTGCTTTTTTTTTTTTTTTTTTTTTTTTTTTTTTTTTTTTTTTTTGTAAACCAAAACAACAAGATTGCTAAGCTTTTTTCTTTTAGTCCGGAGAATAGTCTAGGTTTTAGTCTAAAATTTCTTGACTATAAAAATAGGCTTCTAGAAGCTTAAAAGTATAAAATGCCTCGATTATAACCAAAATGGTGGCGAAAAACCAGCAATTTTTTAATCTATGTATCCGTTTATAATTAGGGAAAATTAGCCCCAATACCACTTTTTTCAAAAAGTTTAGTTCCAGAACCACTTTCTGAGCTCACTTAGCATCCATACCACATTCATCATGTGAAAAGACGATTCTACCCTCCAACTTACTGAGACAAGACCCTGCGGTTGATGGGACTCTCCGAATTTTCTGCCGTCCACAGTCTCTCGATCTCCTAACGCATTGGTAACCGTTTTCGTCTCTCTGGTAAAACAAAGTTGTCCCCGAGTAAATCCAGATCTTCGTCTTCGGCTCTTTGGCGGAATAAAATAAAGATCAAGTTGTCTCCAAGTAAATTCAGATCTCTGGCTGGTAAAACCACATCATCTGGCGATGGACAATCAAGAGAAGTTGTCCCCGAGTAAATCCAGATCTCTGGCTGGTAAAACCACATCATCTGGCGATGGACAATCAAGAGATCTGGACTTATTCTTGGGGGACATCATTCACTCTATTTCATAATTATTGTCCATGGTAAATGTAAACTGCATTTAATGCAATGTTTTGTCCTTCTTCTCTGACACAAAGTTGTCTTTCAGACAAAGTTGTCCTTCTTTGACACAAAGTTGTCCCCGTTTCCCAACCGGCGTCTACTGTAGCTCCTTCCCCTGACACATACCTGACGCACAGAGAAGGGCAAAATCGTCCAAGAGTTGCCACACAAACACCAAATGTGGTATGGATGCTAAATCCATTTCAAATGTGGTACATTTGCTAGGATTTTCCCAAAATGTGGTACATTTGGCAAAATTCCCTTATAATTATTTGAAAATGAAAAAACTGATGACAAATACTAAAATATGTATACAATTTTGAAAAAAAAAAATTAAAAACATAAAACTAATTTGCATCCTATACTATTATTTGGGGAGTACAATTTATGGATTACCCTTAATTAACCTTCCTATTTGTAAGAATTTACTTAAGAAT